TGTATTAATTTTCAACAAGTAAAGTGAACAAAATTTTAAAAGCATGGGTGTATAACGCACACTCTTAAAGTAGAACAACATCATTTTCACTGAAACTAAATATGTATTGCTGTTTCTTATTTATCTTAACTGTTGTAAATATCTTTTGGTTGTACAAGTCTTTGTTTACTCCTTGGTTTTTATTGTTATTGTCTTATCACTCGAAATCATGTTACTCTTTATCAACTTATCTAAACATTCATATATATCTAAATAAAATATATACAGAACTAACAATCAAAATCGCAAGTCAATGACTAGCTGAAAAAACTAGAAAACCACCCCTCCACAAAAACGCATTGACAACATGGACAACTAAACACTGAACAGCCAGATTCAGAAAAGTTCATCTTAATATATATACAAAAATTGATATTCCAAGTCTAAGCCATCCATTTTATATCAATCAATATCTAAAAATACCACATTTCCAATACTAAATCAACACCCACATGCACACATATAACATTAAATTAGGATAGAGCGAAGCAGTCCACAGCTTTTTAGAAAGCTCAAACTTGTATCTATATTTATGTTTACATCGGTTTTTATGGCCGTCTGCAGTCTTCCGATGTCGACTTGAATGACGATGGTAAATTAGATGGCGTCTAGACTGAAATACACGCGAAATGTTGATACATATTATCGAGCACATGCATTGAAAATTGTTTATTTTAGCCTTTTTACAACTTGGATATATATATACTTCTTTGTATGTTATAAATCAAATATGAGCATTTGAGTCAAATCGGTGAACATGAATTTAACAGGTAATGCCCCTTAAAAGTAAGTTTATTTTCTTTCAAATATTTGATCATCTATAATAAGTATACACAGCCATTTTTTATGCCCCCGCCGTAGCGGAGGGGGCATTAAGTTTTACCCTTGTCCGTTCGTCTGTACGTACGCATGTACATACGTCCCAAAATTGGTTTCCGTTCTCTAACTTTAGCTTGTCTCAACCAAATGTTATGAAACTTATACACCATGCTTATAACCACAAAACAGATCAAGTTTGAATTTTGTGGCGTCACTTTTACCATTCTAGAGTTATGCCCCTTTACAAATGGAAAAATTGCTGAAATTTCTCGTTCTCTAACTTTAGTTTGCTTCAACCAAATGTTATGAAAATTATACACAATGCTAATTACCACAAAACACAGGTCAAGTTTGAATTTTGGTGGCGTCACTTTTACTGTTCTAGAGTTATGCCCCTTTACAAATGGAAAAATTGCTGAAATATTTGTTTCTGTTTCTTACTTTAGTTTGATTCAACCAAATGTTATGAAACTTATGCACAATGCTTATTACCACAAAAGTCAGATCAAGTACAAATTTGGATGGAATCACTTTTACAGTTCTTGAGTTATATCACTTTATAACGTTATATGCAAGCGGGGGCATCATCTGTGTCCAATGGACACATTCCCCATTTATTTGTCCAAAAACTGGTTAATTTTTTTTATTTATCAGAGACTTATGTAAAATTTTGTTTGATAGTGATTTTAATTTCATGGGTAATCCTTTCCATAAAAATTAGTTTCTTTTTTATATTAACAGTGCTGTTTATAGAATTTTCCGACTTTAAATAGCTACCCAATCTTTTGGTATTGAATTCTTTACTAAATTAATTTCAGCTGTCCAGTTTGATTTGTTTTTTAATTTATTAAAAATGACATCTTTTGAAAACGCAGCTTTTTTCATCTCCGATATCATTTACATAAATTATAAAGATCGCTTGGCCTTCAATTTTTGTAAATAATAGCTTTACTTTCAAATTTAATTAATTTGTTGTTCCATAATATTTGTTTTCTTATATCTGTTATATTTTCAGGCTTTTTTCGTGAAACCCCAACCAGTTAATTTCAAACATTTAAGGATAGTTTTATAAAAATCTAGGATTTTTTCGGACTTTCTTCTGGAATATCCCCATTGTTTGTTTAAAACACTAGCCAGTTTGACCCAAAATTACAGAAACAGTGCTGAGGTATAATTTTCCAATATCCATATTAAGTCACAATCACTTAAATCTTTTAACCCGCATAGCTTTTAAAGCAATGAAATAACTTCTTGTTTTTATCATATATAATCCCCCCCTTTTCATATGGACCAATGATCGAATTTCTTTTAACTTTATCTGGTTTATTATCCCCTATGAATTTAAAACTACTTTTTTCTGTTCTTTCAAATATTTCTCAGGAACTTTAGATAAAAGCAGTTCCTATAAAAGTGAAAATTTAGATTTTAGTTTTATTCATTAATTCAAAGATTAGATCTGGTCAGATATGTTCCAAAATTTTAAGTCAATCATTTGAGAAATACAAAAGTTATTTACATTTTCTATCTTTGGGGACATTGGTCAGAGCAAATTTGACTCTTGTCAGGTCAAATTTCAATAACCTCGAATTAAAAATTTCGATTTTCTTTTCTATTTTCATTTAATAAATGATGAAAGCTTGTTATTTTTCAAATTTTGAATACTGTGGATTCATTAATTTTCGTGGGTACCAATTTTCGTGGATTGAGAAAAACTTTCATTTTCGTTGATATTTGATTACGTGGATTTGCCAAAGTCTGCATACAAACTTATTGAAAATGTGTAATTCGTTGAACATTTAAATTCTTGGTTTACCTGTACCAACGAAATCCACTAAAATTGGTATACAAAGAATAATAATGAATCCAGAGTAAATCAGGTATGAAGTAAAAGAACACTGCAGAGTTCCATTGTCCCCAGCGATGCGCATATTGTATCTGTCCAATTACTAAAATTTTTGTTTTGGTACTTTAAAACTTTTTATAAATATCAGTAAATATCTTAAGAGAAATGTAGGCTTGAAACCCTTTACAATGCAATTTTCTATAAAATTAATATTTCCAAGGGCATAACTCTTTCAAAAATAGTTGATCGACTGTGATTTACAAACTTGTCCCACACATTGCTGATATAATCCTTTGATATAAAAATCTGACAAGAATTGAATATGTGAGAGTGCTTTAACATGACTGGATCGACAGACGCACGGACGGACACCCAGTATTTCTTTGTCCCAATTAACCATTCTCACTTAATAAAAATTAACAATCAATGGAAGAACCAAAAGGAAATTAGATCAACCAAAAATCTTTATCATGACAATAAAATAGGAGAATGTATTTGATTCCTTTATAAGGGCATGCAATGCATGTATACCCTGTGTGATAAAAATAACACATGTACAAAGCTGAAAAAAATGTGTATTACAAGCAGAAAGCTTGTGAGATGAGGTTACTATGGTTTTCAATGTTTCAGACTCAGAAATGTATCCCTGTGCGCTGTAGAAATCCACTCAAAAGTGTGCTAATGAAGACAACAAAATATTTATATAGATGAAGATCACAATCATCTGTCATCTTCATCTGTCTTTTGTTGTGTTCATTATCACACTTTTTCCATCCATTATAATTACTTCTCATTAATATAATATAATGGAAATTTTACTTCCTGAAATATATATGTATCTGTATGAGTATGCTTTCATGGTCATGGATACCAATACTGGCTTTAATACAATTATGGTAGAGAGAGCGCTGTCAATTTATTGACAGTGCGTTAGAGCAGTTTTGAAGTTCTTAATGCTTGGTGCATGCACTACAGTGTATTAAGTTTAGGTTCCTCAAGTATGTACATCAAATTCATAATGGTTGCCATAGATATGTAATTTTTCTATTTATATAAAAAAAAATGATGTGGTATGATTGCCAATGAGACAACTCTTCACAAGAGACCAAATGACACAAAATGATCAACTATAGGTCACCGTACGGCCTTCAACAATGAGCAAAGCCCAACCCGCATAGTCAGCTATAAAAGGCCCCAAAATGACAAATGTAAAAATATCAAACGAGAAAACTAACAGCCTAATTTATGTACAAAAAAATGAACAAAAAACAAATATGTAACACATCAACAAACGACAACCACTGAATTACAGGCTTCTTAATAATTATTTATTTTTATGTCTAATTAGGACACCCTTAATTCCCTTGATCATGTTGATATTCACATTAAAACCTGACATATCTTAATTGACCTCTGGAAATTATGACCAAGTGATCTCATTGGTGTTCCAGTGACATTTTGAAGCTGTTGTAAAATCCTTAAATATTGTTTATATCAGTTTTTGTAAAAATTAAAACATAACTGAATATGATATTGCTTTATATGTACAATTATGTGAACATGGTGAACTCAATACCGACGTACATGATCCTACATCCTGTCAATATTATTTAGTACTTGTATTTTGTCATTGCACAAGTTCATGCAATTCTCAGACTGTTTATGACATCTTTCCTAAATCTGTTGGATATGAACTGATTGATACTTTAGTCTGGGAGAACATGATTTATTTATTAGTTTCATAATTGTCTTTGAACTAGCTTTCAGTTACTGCAAGTACTCGGCTTTGTGTCTATTTTTTTTTTTTATCTTAGTGGATTTTGTGTCTCCTGCCGATATTTTGAGTAAGGGCAATTGCAACTGATTTTTACAGTTTGATCTTATGTTGTGCTGTTATGCCACTGTTCCAGGTTAAGGGGAGTGTACTAGTTGAGCACTCACACGCATGTTTAACACCCCCAAATTCTTTCTGTGTCTGTACAAAATCTAGAACCTGTAGTCATTGGTAATACAGTGTTTGTCTTGAGTTCATGTCTGTCATATTTTTTTTCGTAAATTGTTTTGTTATAAATTGGGTTGTTAGTTTTCTGGTTTGAATTGAATAAAAAATTTTCATTACAGGGTCTTTTATAGCTGACTGTACTGTATGGGTTTTTTCTCATTGTTAAAGGCCATACAGTGGCCTACAATTGCTTACTATAACGATATCATTTTAACTCTGGTGGATATTTGTCTCATTGGCAATCATACCACATCTCCTCATTTGTATATCTGATTTGTCTGTTATGTATATTTATAGATGACTGCACTCAGTGGGGATACCTTTGAAGGTTCAATTGGACCACTTTCAAAGAAAGAAGATTCAGACAGTGATATAGATATAGGTAGCCTCCTTGAGATCGATTCTACAAAGAAAAAAGGCTGGGATGAAAAACAGAAGCTGATTAAAATTTGTCAAAATGAGGCTGGAACTATATCGAGTGGAAAACGACCATTGAATATTGCAATCATTGGTTCACATGGATGTGGAAAATCATCTTTTCTTAATACTATATTTGCCAGCTTTAGTGACGGAAAATGGAAAGAAATGACCCAACAGGGTAGCTATGGTGGATTGGGAAAACAGATTTCACAATCATTGATCAGGTATAGTCCTTTATCAAGCAGTTTCTAAATGCAAATTGCACTTTCTATGCCCCCGATGTATCGGAGGGGGCATTAAGTTTTACCCTTGTCCGTCTGTACATCCGTCCGTCAGTACGTCCGTATGTCCTTACTTCCCAAAATTGGTTTTTCTTCTCAAACATTAGTTTGCCTCATCTATATGTTTTGAAACTTATACTCAATGCAAATTACCACAAAACACGGATCATGTGTGAATTTGGGTGGCGTCAATTTTACCTCTCTAGAGTTATGGCCCTTTACAAATGGAAAAATTGCTGAATTTTTCATTTCCATTCTCTTACTTAAGTTTGCCATAACCAAATGTTATGAATCTTATACACTATTCTTATTACTACAGAACACAAATCAAGTTTGAATTTTGGTGGCGTCGCTTTTACTGTTCTAGAGTTATGCCCCTTTACAATTGGAAAAATTGCTGAATTTTTTGTTTCCGTTCTCTAACAAGTTTGTCTCAACCAATTGTTACGGAATTAATACACAATGCTTATTACCACAAAACGCAGATCAAGTACGATTTTTGGGTGGCATCACTTTTACCGTTCTTGAGTTATGTCCCTTTATAACGTTATATGCAAGCTGGGGCATCATCCTTGTCCCATGGACACATTCTTTTATTTATTTTTTTTACTGAAAAGGCCCCAAGACAGTATATCTTGCTATTTTAAAAAAACATAGTAATATTTTCCATAAATTTGAGTGCTTAATCTACAATAGCATAGGGCTGTTAAGGTCTCTTGCCTGTGCCTTCGTCTATGCCTTTGTCTGTCCTTTTTTCAGTGATCTGAATAGCCTTTATCTGTTCTTTTTCCAGTGATCTGGAAAGATTTATTCTCTATGGTCCCAGCCCCCCCACCCCTCCCCCCCCCCAAAAAAAAAAAAAAAAAATCAATGGGCCATTTTTAGAACTTATGGGCCATGTTGTGAAATGAATGGGCCATTCGTTTATAATAAAAAAAAATTACAAGTGCATGTTTCAGCAAAGAGGTACTAACCTGTATGATTCTAATTGATATTGTGAATTCTGTGCTTTTGTAGTTTAATTTGACAAATGTTAATTTAGTTCATGGTGATTTATGTGACTAAGACCTGGGACACGTATAATAGTCCCAGCTAAGACTGACATTGTATGAGTTCATGATACTTAACACCACTCAGAAATTAAAACTTTATGACTTATAATAAAAAACTGAACAATATAAAAATTCTGGCCAAGACCAACACCACTTCAAAGAACGGCATAATGTATTTTATGGAGTGGTGTGTTGGAATGAAGTATTGGAGTGGAGTGTTGGAGTGAAATTTTGGAGTGAGATTTTGAAGTATATAGTTTAGTTATCCCGCACATGTAGAATGTTAGGGAGTTGAATGTTTTGTTTAGTCAGTATCTTGGCATATGTGTATCTTATCTTAAAAGCTACAGAAAAAAGTGTAGCGTTAATGCCACAAAGAGGAAAGAAAACCTCTAAAGCTACACAAAGAATGAAGGGTGCTGCAAATAAAAGCAATACTGAACTACAGGAATATGTTGAATAAAAAACTTCAACTCCGGATCAACCATTTCATCTGACATTATATGCTGCTTTGATTCGTAAATGTTATGGTTGTAACCAGGAATTCTAAAAAAAAGCATAGAAAGTCGCCACATGATTTACTTTTTAAAAGGTTCGACTTCAGATCATACCTCAGCCCCAAGTCGAATTGTCAAATAACCTGTTGACACAGAGATATATCTCGCCTGTTGGCATAAAATTCAGAAAAAGACGCATGTAACTTTATAGAAAATATTGTCTATTTCAAGTAGTTCCTATCAAACTAACTTAATTATAAGAAATAACATTGAACATTTTTAATCGATTGAAAGTCACTGGACCATGACCAAGGGGGCATGCCTTAAAATAGTCGTCAAACTGATATGTACTTATAGTAATGCAGCTTTACAGAAAATATCATTGGTCTATCGCAAGTAGTTCATATCATACTAACTTAAGCAGAAAACTTATCATTGAAATTGGCTTATTAATTCAAAGTCACTGAACCATCCCTAGGGGGCAGGGGCCCTAAATGGTCGTCAATCTGATATGTACTGATAGTAATACAACTTCATGCAAATTATCATTGATCTATCACAAGTACTTTCTATCAAACATTTGTTTACGTCGTCAAAAATGCGAGACAAAAACCTCTTAAGAACATGAAGAGCACATACTTTCACCTTAGTGCAGAATGTGCACATCGACTATACCAAGATTCGTAATGAAGCATGTTATTGTACACGACGAAATTAAAGACCAATTGAAATATGGCCACAAAGAAATGCTGGGTCAGTATGTGCATTTAATACTGACGTTTTTTTAACAATCTCTTTGCGTGGATAGAAAAACATTGATAGCAAATAAATTTTAACATCCTATCATAGTTTTTCTTTTAGGTGCTACATCAAAAGTAGGATTAAAAACAAAAAGAACCCGACCCACTACAAAAAAAGTTTATCGCCAGAGGTCTTATCTAGAAATAAATGTAATAGATGATTGAAGGCACCTTTTTTGCGTAAATTAGCGACGATCGGTCCACAGATTTGTTTGTGCCGAAGTGACACTTTCGTGCAATTAAAAAAAAATCAGATATAAACCCGCAACCCCATTTTTGTATCCGAAATCGATCTTTTGAATACACCCCTTAATCGTAAAATTTTTCTCAATGAAAATCTCGCACATAACATTGTATAAGTTGCAGTTCATCTCTTATTATTGTGTTCTATTACTGAAATGATAGGTATAGGTAATAAGAATTAATAACTAATATTTCCATGAATCCAAAATTCAGAAAATGGAAATACTTTCAAGATTTTTAACACATTTAAATATATTTTTATTTAAACAGAAGAGTGGCTCAAGCATATGGAAAGCCAACGGGGTCAAAATTCTTAATTCATAAATTGTCCATTTGTAACTTGTAACTGTGTAATTTCAAAATTCTTCATTCATAAATTGTTAATTTGTAGCTTGTAACCATAGATATAATAGCCACAGCTATGGCTATTATATCTATGTTGTAACTGTGTAATTTCAAAATTCTTATTTCGTAAAATGGCAATTTGTAACTTGTAACTGTGAAATTTCAAAATTCTTAATTCGTAAATTGTCAATTTGTAACTTGTATCTTTGTAATTTCAAAATTCTTAATTCGTAAATTGTCAATTTGTAACTTGTAACTGTGAAATTCAAAATTCTTAATTCGTAAATTGTCAATTTGTAACTTGTATCTTAAATTTTGTAATTTCAAAATTCTTAATTCGTAAATTGTCAATTTGTAACTTGTAACTTTGTAACTGTGTAATTTCAAAATTCTTTATTGGTAAATTGTCAATTTGTATATTGGTGTTTTGTAACTTGAAACATGTCGATTCGTTAAATGTAATCGTTGTATTATGCTAACGATCATTATGACGACAGATGGCGCTCGGTTTCTTCTTCGGTGTATAAGCCGCCAGTAAGTAGGAGCACCTCCATATGGAGTATATACCTAAAAAAATTAATTTAACACAATTATGTACAGCACATACATATAAAAGAAAACAAATAGATACAAACATTGTTTGTTTTATATGGCATATATACAGGGACTCGGTTTTATATAAAGGTGACCTCGAATAATCATGTATGTCTACTGTACTGGTTACCACACCTGGGAGGGTGTGTACGTGTCACCTCCTTTATTAAGATATATACAGATGTGTCGCTGGAATGGGCTCCCTTTTCAACTTCGCAAATATATGACTGTCACTTGGCAGGAAATTTCTTCTTAACATAAGCAAACGTCTAATGTGTTAATTTGTAAATCAATGAAAAAAGCTGAGATCAACAGTGCAAAAACAATTATTATGATACGTAAATGATAATGTAAAGAGATATGTTTCATTTTACAAAATACTTTAAACATGATACACCAGTATGCAAACTCCCCATCATGGTGAGGATGCATTTTTCAATGAGACTTGGATATCACAATGCTGTCTGTAAAAGTTATTATAAAGTATGTCAAACTTTTAGTTATGCATCAGTAGATTAAGGGAATTAAAAATTGTTGTAAAGGACTTGGTTGATAAGAGGTCATTCACTTCACAGTTTGAGTTACAAAGTTCCTTAACTTGCGTGCAGATTTTTTTTATTTTCATTGCAGTATGATTTGCAGGTAAAGTGCATTGTTCACTACAAAATTTAACTTCATAATCTCACTCCAAATATTTCACTCCAAAGTCTCGCTCCAAATATTTCAATCCAAAATCTCACTCCAAAAGTTCACTCCAACACTCCACTCCAATAGTCCACTCTAACACTCCACTCCATAAAATACATTACGCCTCAAAGAACAGAATAATGATTAAGAAAATGTTGCAGTACATTTTGCTGCAAACATACAGTAACCAGGGCTATGACTTCTCCAACCGGGCGATATTTACGAGAATCTTCATTTACAATGTAAATACTGGTACCGTCGCCTTTTTTATGTTCATGTTCCTTTGACACTAAATTTGGGTTTTCGTCGACTGCCATAATTTGTCCTAAGTATTGGAGGACGTTTCAGACATTTCCTGTATTATTATTATTATTTTTGTCGCTACCAACAAAAGAAAATAACGTTTTTTGGCCAGGCTAAATAACAATTCGCTGTTTCTTTGGAGGCGATTTACAAAATAATAAACGAACCAAAGACCAAAGGACAGTTGGGCGCCTTTTATGGAGACAAATACGATATTTGAAAAAAGATCCTTGGGTTTTTCAATCGAAATTATAGTTTACTTTGTAAAGATTATACATTAATTTCGTGTCTGTACTAGCCAACTTTCACAAAATTAAAGTTGTTTACTTTGAAATGTTTAATCATGGTTGAATATGCTTTTTTATGCCCCCGCCGTAGTGGAGGGGGCATTAAGTTTTACCCTTGTCCGTCAGTACATCTGTACGTCCGTACATCCATACGTCCGTCCGTACGCCCTACAATTGGTTTCCGTTCTCTAACTTTAGTTTGCCTCAACCAAATGTTATGAAACTTATACACAATGCTTATTACCTGAAACCACAAATAAAGTTTGAATGTTGTTGGCGTTTCTTCTACCGTTCTAGAGTTATGCCCCTTTACAAATGGAAAAAATGCTGAATTTTTCGCTTCCGTTCTCTAACATTAGTTTGCCTCAACCAAATGTTATGAAACTCATACACAATGCTTATTACCTGAAACCACAAATAAATTTTGAATGTTGGTGGCGTTACTTTTACCGTTCTAGAGTTATGCCCTTTACAAATGGAAAAATTGCTGATTTTTTCGTTTCCGTTCTCTAACATTAGTTTGCCTCAACCAAATGCTATTAAACTTATACACAATGCTTATTACCACAAAACACAGATCGAGTTTGAATTTTTGTGGCGTTACTATTACCATTCTAGAGTTATGCCACTTTACAAATGGAAAAAATTGCTGAATTTTTCGTTTCCGTTCTCTAACTTTAGTTTGCCTCAACCAAATATTATGAAACTTTTACACAATGCTTATTGTCTGAAAACACAGATCAAATTTGAATTTTGGTGGCGTCAATTTTACCGTTCTAGAGTTATGCCCCTTACAAATGAAAAAAATGCTGAATTTTTCGTTTCTGATCTCTAACTTTACTTTGTCTCAACGAAATGTTATAAAACTTATACACAATGCTATTACCACAAAACACAGATCAAGTTTGAATTTTGGTGGCGTCACTTTTACAATTCTAGAGTTATGCCCCTTTGCAAATAGAAAAATTCCGATTTTTTTATTTCTATAAAAAAGAAGATGTTATGATTGCCAATGAGACAACTCTCCACAAGAGACCAAATGACACAGAAATTAACAACTATAGGTCATACGGAATGTGGCGGGGTTAAACATGTTAGCGGGACCCCCCCCCCCCTAACCTGGGACAGTGGTGTAACAGTACAACATAAGTGCGAACTATAAACATCAGTTGAAAGAGGCTTAACTCATCAGATGGATAAAAATACATATACTACAAATACAAGTGGACGTGGCTCGGTACTTGTACATCCAAACAACAAAAAGACACTAAGTACAGATCTGAGAGTACTCGCAGTTACTGACAGCTAGTTCAAAGCCACTAACAACTAATAAAAAAAATCATGCATCTAAGACTAAATTATCAATCCGCACACATCCAACATCTAATGGATTTAGTGTAAAGACGTCATAAACAGTCAGAAAAGAACATGACCTTGTGCAATGCCAAGACACAGGTATCGACAGATTGTAGATCCATGAATGTATATATATATATATATATATAACAATAATATTGAGTTTGCTTTTAATTTACTGATAACAAAATCAATATTAGTACCAATAAAAACACTATTTAATGATATAATTACAGTGTTTTTGTTCACTATTATAAACATAAGTTTGCCTCAACCAAATGTTATGAAACTTATACACAATGTTTATTACCACAAAACTCAGATCAAGTACACATTTGGGTAGTGCCACTTTTACCGTTCTTGAGTTATGTCCCTTTATAACGTTATATGCGAGCGGGGGCATCATATGTGTCCCATGGACACATTCCCCATTTATTTGGTTATCAGATATACCGCACTTTGCTATCGTTATAACTTCTTCTTTTCTTTGTAAATTCCTCCACATCGGAGCACCTGTGTCACACGGTAGTAAAATCTAAAAACCTTATCTTTAAAATGTTAAAATTAACATAAAAGAAAAGGTGGTAAGGAGATATATTTACAGCAGACATTTATTTATCTTTTTGGTATACGTTAGAGAAACATTAGCTATGGTAAGATATTTTAAAACGAATCTAAAAAAAAATAAGTAAAATTTGTGCTAAAAAATGTACAGTGGGAATATTTACATCAGCAGATTTAATTGCATTAATAACATGTATATCGTAACTTAAACCCTAAAATTATAACGATTAGATGTAAAAAATAGTAGCTTCTACAGGTTTATACATTATACATGTAATAGTGTCCTCAACCTATGGTCCTAATCTTAACATAGATTCTCTGTGAACATATTATTTGTTCCGCAAAATACTTCTTCCCCCTGGAACAAAACTATGGATAATAAAAGTTCTTGGGAACAAACATTACATACCATTATTTCCACCTTCATAAGATATATTTTCCTGGAACTCATCATTTGGTTTCATAATATTTGTTCCTTTAAAGAAAGAGTGTCATGTGTCATGATTAAATAACAAATGTTCTTGGAACTTTCATTATATAAAAAATATTCTTGGAACTTTTATTACATAACAAATATTCCTGGAAATTTCATTATATATCAAATTTTCCTGGAACTTTTGGTCATATAATAAAAATTCCTGAAACTTTTATCAATCGATCTACAATCAAAATCTTACAATAGATTTTAACCAAACTTAGTAAACTGTTAGTCCTTGTCTTTAAGAATATTGATTTTCAAGGTCAAAGGTGAATGTCACAGATGAACTTACAAATTGTACATCCTATAATGAATTTTGCCCAAACTTAGTACATTGTTCGCAATTTGTCCCACATGTAAACTAAGGTCTTTTATAACAAAATATGTATACGATTGATTCTGATTGACAATGAATCTTTTAGATTTTAACAGGTTGATATTGGTATTGTTTAATAAAAAGAATTTGTGTTTAATGATACATGACACCCCTATTTGATGTTGTTCTTGTATACTTCAAATATCAAAACATTGTACATAATATTTATTCCAAAGAACTTTTAGCATATATAACAAAAGTTTCATTGGGAAACTCGTGAATTATCGGATTTATCCAATCTCGATAGTTAAATTATAAATTTTAAAGTCCTCGCCAAGGCTCGGACTTTAAAATAGATAATTTAACTATCTCGATTGGATAAATCCGATAATCCACTGGTATCAATGTAAGAATCTATATATATAAGGAAAGTTCCCAATGGAACTTTTGTTATATGATACAAGTTCGTTGGAACAAATATTATGGGGGAACTTATATTCTGTCACAACCTGTCAGTCAAAGGTCGGTAATATGAAAATGGTCTATTAATTTGATTCCAAATGGTTTCCAATGTAATATATACACATGCAATAATGTTTCTAATTGTTGAAATTATTGGTTCAAAATGTCTTGAACAATTGATTCTTTGTGGAATTCCCTGTTTTAAGCAGTGAAAGGAAAAGATATATATGACATGGAAGCAAGAAATGATTCGATCACTTTGATTCAAGTGTATAAATTTTAATTCTAATGAAGTAATATAATTATTATTCCTTAAAAGTGATTTAAACAAATGAGCATCGAATTTCATCTACATTTTTTATTTGTTGAGTATAAAAAATTGAAATGTTGGAGCAATTTTTGGAGATTGTCTTTTGTAAATATTCCACATAAATTCTGTTTGCCAGGATAGTTCTTTTCATTTTTCATCAGATTCTTTTCAAGTCTTGATGAAGATTTCTTAATCAAAACTTTGTATGAATTCATTATTATCAGATACATTTTTAATTGTAGACTATTGTTTCGGAATGGAAGATTTGTAATAAATTATCACATAATAATCATGTTAATTAAGTGGAGGGGGTGGGTAATGATTGCTAGCTTGCTCAGTAAACATTCTAATTTATTTTTTTAGATAAGTAAAGATATACTAACAAAACATGTTGACGGCTGTTGATGTTATAAGGTTGATTTTGTTTCAGTTTTAAAAAAGAGAAATACTACTCCAGGAATGGAGAAAACAAGGAGGATGATGGAATCTTAATGCCAACATTCATTGATCTGAAAGGTTTTGAAGACCAGAACGATGAGTTTACCCAAGAGATATTGAAAATTATCTTCTATGGAAAAATGGGAGAATTTGAAAAATTATCTGATGTTTTAACACACTACCAAAACTTTGGCTTAAATGGTTTAAAAGAGAAATATGGTCAGCGCGAAGAATATTTAGTGATAGACAGAATTATATTTGTGTGTTCAGGAGATCCTACTTCTACTCTTCCGACACAGTTAATGGCATGTGTGAGTGAGATTGCACATGGCGTAAGAGGTATGTAGCAGTGCTAATTTATAAGGTAGATATTCCATTAAAATATATAAGTTTGTTGAACTTGCAACATTTGTCTTGAAAGCGAGACACAAGGGCATTTAGTGGCGTCAACATTTAGATTCAGTCTCTAGTAAAGTTTTAAGACATCAATAACTTTGTCAAACCTTCATAGAATTTTACCAAGCCTAAATAGAAGCTATTTTCTTATAATAAAGACAGTATTCAGAGCAAAATTTTGAAAATATTAGTTTTCTTTTTTCAATATTTTACTGATTGAATGACTTAGTTTTTTTATGCAGTTAACATTATGATACAGTCTGGGTGAAAGTGTTTTTTAGAAATGATAACTTTGTCCAATTTTAATAGAATTTTATGAAACTTGGGCAAAGGCTTTTTCTATGATTCAGAGATAATGTTTGAAGCCAAATTTGTAAAATAGTTTTATTTATGAAGTTAACATTTACATGCAGTCTGCATGAGTTAAACAAATTTAGACATCAATGGAATGTTATGAAACTTGGACATATTATTGTATTCAAGATCAAGAAATAATATCTAAAGAAAATGTTTTTGACAGTCAACATTAAACTATATATTATATATGTTGGACTCTTAATGTGCGATGGAGATGCTAAAACGCGATGGTCAGGCTAAAGTGCAATGGCCTACGCTAAAGTGCGATGGTTTGATACACTAAAGTGCGAAGGTCTGTGCTATGTAATGGAAAATACTAATGTCCGATGCCGCAATACGCTAAAGTGCGTTTTTTTCCCGCGAAAGTGATTGTTTGCAAAAGTATAAAGTGATTGTTTGCAAAAGTATGGACGTTTGCAACGTTAAATAGCATTATAACGTTACAAGCTGTTTGTACAAACGAGAATGTTTGTGCAGTTGAAGGTTTTTTACTAGACAAGAGAAACAAATGATCCCAATCCGGAACATTTTTGGTCGGTGCTAGTAGTGTTTGTATCCGGAGGAATTATTTCCCAAAAAAATCATCAACAGTAACAGAAATGCAAGCATTTGATCTTACTTTGATCGACTCATAGACTTTGAACCAAATTCAGCTTTGTTGACGAGGACAAACATGTTTCTGTCAGAATACTAGAAAAAATGAATTCTCATAAACATAGAAGCTGACGATAGTAAGAGGAAGGTGTATACCATAAAAGAGAGTGAAACGGCAAAATACACCACATGTCTAAGTATTTAAATCGTCCAAATTTAATTTAGAAACGCCTTCAAATTCTATGTTTGTAATCCCATGTCATTTAATTGCGTGAAATAAGTGCTTTTTTTTTTTACTTTCTAATTGAATTATTTTATAAAACAAATTTTTGCAATATGGTTCATCATACAATTGAGAATGGAAACGGGGAATGAGTCAAAGAGACAGCAACCCGACCAAAGAGCAGAAAACAACCCAAGGCCAACAATTGGTCTAAAACACATCGAGAAAATCCCGCACCTGAAGGCGGGGTCCTGACTTGGGAGAGGCGAAAAAATTCTGGTGGTTTAAACATGTTTTGTGAGATCCGTCTGTTAAAGAGATACTCATCAGCAAGACAGTAACCTAACGACCATCGCACTTTATCGTGACCATCGCACTTTAGAGTACCATCGCACTTTAGAGTCTGAGGCTGAGTCCTACATATATAGATATATTTTTACATAATATAGTCCCATCATATTCAGATAATAATAAAGTAAGATTACCTGAGTTATAATGATTTGATGTACGCCCTCGAGTAACAAGTACCGGAAATATAAAGTGATAAAAAATTGTTTTGATGAAATAACATGCCACCAACTTTGAAATCATGCTTTAAACTCTTTCTGAAGAAAATAAATCGTTTATGTCTTGCATTTCTTTACTTTTAAATGAAAAATTGCTGTTTCATCGTCTTGGTAAAAATTGAATATGGCAGATGACGAAAGCGACTGAAAGCGAGTATCGTAAACCACAGGGCGACTTGTTTTCGCTTTTGACGGTCAGGCAAAGCGAAGTGACGGACAGGAAAGCGACTTCTTCGTCCTAATCGCCTGGTAACACAGTAACCTCTGTCTTGATATTTCAAAAACAGTGGTATTCAGTTAAATTATCTCCCCTTAGTTAAACAATAGTTAAGAAAAAATTATCTCCCCTAGTCAAATAATAAATTCCAAGTTAAACAATAGTTAAACAAAAATTATCTCCCCTAGTCAAATTATAAACCCTTAGTTAAACAATAGTTAAGCAAAAATTTTCTCCCCCTAGATATGGCCCGAGAACACAGTTATTTCGTAGTGCATTTCTTTTAGACAATAAATTCAAATTAAAAAAATCGCACCTGCTCTATCTTAAAAAGATTTTTACAGTGTAGTGTACTACTATTGATACAAATAATATCAAAATTCTAGAAACTTCTACCAGCTATAACTCAAAATATTGACAATTCTGTGTTAAGGGGGGCTAAAATTCAGTTTGACAGCTTCATCAGACATTCTAATTTTTGACCTTTTTTAACTGGACCAAATCACTACTTAACATAAAGATTCAGCACCCAAATTTTTTTAACATATAATTTCATCCCCTTACTTAATATTTCATGCATAAAATATCAAGAAATAAATTGGGAAAGTGTATAAAAAAAAAATGCAAGTTATACACTGTTCACACTAGGGACTATATTGGACGATAACTGTGTCCTTGGACCTAATATAGTCAAATCATAAATAATTGTGATTCATGAATAAGTCTATTATCATTATTTAAAAAACAACATTTTTGATACAAATATAAGATGATTTAAGCAATTGTATCACAAAACAATTTGTTTAAGAATCTCTTGTTATATTCCTGTTTATATATAATTTTCTGCAAATGCCAAAATCTTAATACAAAGTGGTGAAATAAGTAAGGTCATTTAGTAATACGTGATTCACAGAAGTTTAAAACATTAATGTATTTCAATCAACAGGTAACCTTTGTGAAGTTTGAATCGAGTAAAAATAAATAAAATGTTGCAAAAGATACAAATTAGTACACAAAACATTATATAATTGTGATATTATTATTAGCAATAATTTTATTGTAAAATTGCATGTTTAGGTATTCCAATATTTGGTGTGATGACAAAATCTGACAAGTTTAATGGAAGTAAGGATCCAGAAGTGGAGAAGAGAGAGACAGAATTCAGAAAACATCTTGGAATACCGAAAAATCGCTTTGCTAGGATAAAGAATTATTGTGAAGATATAGATAAGGATATGGCTTATATGTTTTCAGTTGTACCACAGATTGATGTTCGTGTTCTTAAACTGATGACACAGGTTAGTGGCTTATATGTTTACAGTCATACCACAGATTGATGTTCATGTTCTAAAACTGATGACACAGGTTAGTGGTTTATACATGTTATATGTTTACAGTCATACCACAGATTGATGTTCATGTTCTAAAACTGATGACACAGGTTAGTGGTTTATACATGTTATATGTTTTCAGTAATACTACAGATTGATGTTCGTGTTCTTAAATTGATAACACAGGTTAGTGGCTTATATGTTTTCAGTTATACCACAGATTGATGTTCGTGTTCTTAAACTGATGAAACAGCAGGTAAGCGGCTTATTAGTCTAGGGATGTCAACTCAGTAAAGAATTACTAATCAAGTACTATAAAAAAGAAGATGTGGTATGATTGCCAAAGAGACAACTCTTCACAAGAGACCAAATGACACAAGAGTTAACAACTATAGGTTACCTTCTGGCCTTCAACAATAAGCAAAGCCCATACCGCATAGTCAGCTATAGAAGGCCCCGAAATGACAAATGTAAAACAATTCAAACGAAAAAACTAATGGCCTAATTTATGAACAGAAAAATGAACGTAAAACAAATATGAAATACAGAAACAAACGACAACCATTGAATTACAGGCTCCTGACTTTGGACAGACACATACATACAGAATGTGGCGGGGTTAAACATGTTAGCGGGATCCCAACCCTCCCCTACCCTGGGACAGTGGTGTATTGGTACAACATGAGAATGAACTATAAAAATCAGTTGAAAAAGGCTTAACTCATCAGAGGGATACAAATAGAAATATATCTAACAAAAACACAGAGTGGACGTGGCCGGGTACTTGTACACCCCAACAACAAAAAGACACTAAGTACAGATCTGAGAGTACTCGCAGTTACTGACAGCTAGTTCATAGCCAATAACAACTTATAAAAAAAAAATCAGGCATCTAAGACTAAATAATGAATCAGTACACATCCGTTCTACAACTAAAGTTTACCTCAACCAAATGTTATGAAACTTATACACATGCAATGCTTGTTACCACAAAATACAGATCAAGCTTGAATTTTCATGGCGTCATGTTTACTGTTCTAGAGTTATGCCCCTTTACAAATGGAAAAATTGCTGAATTTTTTGTTTCAGTTCTCTAACTTCAGTTTGCCTCAACCAAATGTTATGAAACTTATACACAATACTTATTACCACAAAACTCCGATCAAGTACAAATTTGGCTAGCGTCACTTTTACCGTTCTTCAGTTATGTCCCTTTATAACTTTATATGATATGCAAGTGGGGGCATCATCTGTGTCCCATGGACACATTCCCCATTTATTTTTTAAAGTTTGGTATTTTAAGAATGTACGTATGACTTACTTTTAATAATTGGTATCAGAATAAAAGAAAATAATGATAGGAAAAACTGTGCATTAGATTAAATATAAATGCATGAATTTCATGAACAACAACAACAGCAATAATTTTATTTTACAGGTTTTCAGTAATGCATTAGAAGTAACAAACCCTAAAGCCCGTCTTGATTATCGCTCTCCAGAAACAGATATATTACGTGAATCTAAAGAAATGGCAAAGTCGGTTCCACCACGAATACAACCACCTGCTGCTAACCCAGTACCCCCAGGAGATCAACAACAGGCAACATCAGGAATTGGCTTTCCAAGCTTATTACTTCTGATCACCATCCAGGTGCTGTTTATGGCCATACTTCTGCATTTTGGAATGAAGCCAGTTATAACAGAGGAAAAACTCAACACGATCTGTGCAAATTACGACTTTATCAAGTCAAAAAATGATGCTACAATTGAAGGCCTAAATGAGTTATGTGACCATAAAGTGGACATTTTGAAACCTCCAATTTATCTGCTGGGTGGGGGGATAGTGCTGGTTATTATGGTTCTTCCAATTGTGCTTTATTCTTTCTTAGTTAAAAAAAGAAATTAGTTGAATATTTACAATACCTTCACAATGACTGTCTTTCTGGGATTTTTTTAATAGCTTACAACATGTATAAGGAGTTGACAATAGGGAAATAATCCAGACTGGAATTTTTAATTTTTCTACAGCTGTTGAAAAAATGGCCATTTGTTTTGAACTAATATGAAGAACAATAAAAAAGCATGTATCATCTATTTATAAATGCACATAGTATACTGTAAATTCAGAGATTTGTGGGGGCATTTATTTTAGCGATTGTTGAGCAATGAACAAAAATGTGAGCTTAATTATTGGATTTACAGGAAACGCTGCATACTTATGATAATGCTATCAAGATTTAAAATGCAAGTTTTTCAATTTTTTGTGAAACCTATCCATTAGCAATTTTCTCAATTTTAAAAAGCATCGCAAAAATTGCTTAATTTACAATAGTTTAAGAATTGTGTTTTTGGTGTTAAAAGATATTACAAATATATGGCAAAATAAAATTCTGATCTTTAAAAAGTTTCACTAAAATATTCTTGAACATTTGTAAAACCTAGTATTACGTTAAACGAAACATATTGAAGAGTGCAGAACTTCCAAAGAAGCATTCATCATCACTATATTCCATATGTCTGAACGTATGTCATTCAAGCTGAAATGTATGTGATGACCATAAGACTACAAACAAAAATGACAAAATCTGTAGAATAAACCAAATATGTACCAAGGAATTTCAAGAGTTTGTGTGTCAAGGCAAGCTATATCGATATTTGGCAAGAACTCTTTTGCCAGCACCTTATGCCATAATATCCATCTCAGAGAATGGAGATTGATTCTCTCCTCTTTTGGACATGAAAAAACTATTGTAAACATGTCTGTTTTCGAAAATACTGCCCCCTATGATTTTATCGTGTTTATGTATCTAGCTTTTGATTTTGATGAATTGTTAAAATGATTTTCTGCAATGCCTTATTGAATATCATATAATCTTTATTTATTGGAATAAAGATATAGATGTATTTGAAAGAGTTCTTGAAAATAATTGTTAAACTCCTATAAATGCATGAATGAGAAGAACTCAAGTTAAAAAAAAATTAAAATTCCAATTACTTATGATTTGCAATTTGTTTCTAAATTTCTTGGCAATCACATGAAACAATTTTTATTTTTGAATTGAATTGAATGCTTCTTTTTATAATTTTATTGGGTTGTAAAAGCATTGAAAGGAGCACATTTTGTTTGAAGCGCTTTACTAAACATTTTACATGATCAATGCTTTTATTACCCCTTAAAATGAAATTAAAAATTGATTCTTATAATTTCTTTTATATTCTACAACAATGAAATAAGTAGTTATATCAAGTTTTTTGTTTGTTTTCCAATGCACTGATTTTGTTGTGGGTTTAGCACATGCATTTATGAATGTTGCATTTTTCTTGAGAAATAGAATATAATTTGTAATGCCTCATGATTGTTGTCATCCAGTCAAAAGACCAAATTCTTATGAAACATACATGTAATATAATTGTTATGAAATGAAATGATATCTATGTACTTCTTTGTTTTCTTATTGAACTGATGTGCTAAATATATCCAGTAACCATGTATTGACTTCCTCCACCCCCAATAAAAAAAAAAAAAAACACCAGGAAATAACACAATAGTGTTAGAAGCTGCATTAAGGGCATATATATACGATACAGTTACAGGGGAGGTAATGATGTTGCTAACGTAAAATGTTGTTTTCGCGACGTCAAATTGTGACATATCGGGAAAAGATGCATTTTTCGACTGATTTTTATCATTCAAACTGATTTAACTTGAAAACAAGTTCATGGACCCCTCTTTTTTAAAATGACATTTTGTTTGATTACGTATGAAGATTATTTGTACCAATTTTCATGAAAAAGTCAACGATGAAATTTTTTAAAATTAGATAAATATACAGCAAAAAATGCCGTTTTTTTTCAAAACTCCTGAAACTTTGACAACAATTAATTATTTCCAAAGAATTGTTGTACAAATTTAGAGCATACTTATGCTAAGAAAATTTTCCAAATATTTTAACAAAAATCCGCTTGTGTTAATCTTTTGAAACAAAAAAGTTAGGTATGTCTATCCAAAGGATAGAAATGTCCAAAAAAACTAAATTTTGAGTAAATATTTAAAATTTTACCCCAATTATCTCTTAAAGTGGCACATGAAATTATGTTTTTTATTACATATTTGATTTGAATAGGTGAAAAAAAGCTTGTATGCAAATTTTCGTCAAAAATTCATCGTGGGATCAAACTGTATCATGTGCCCTTAAACACCAACCAATCAATCAATGTATTAGTGTTGATGAACTAGACATAACCATAAGGTAATATGTACTTTAAAAAAAGGGTTGAGGTTAAAATGTGATATTAAATTTCTTATTTTTTTATTTATATTATATGTTTTATACAATTTTTATACATTTAAGGATTCCATTTAAAAATTTAGCTCTTATAGCCTAGAGTTATCTCCCAGTACAGTGCAGTTATCTAATATAAATGCAGTGCAGTTATCAAACTTCCGTTAGTTAAAGAATAATTCAGGGGTCACCACACCAGGCGAAGTGAGCGACATAGTCGCCCTAGGACTCCCCACTTAGCTTTAGAGAAGCTCCAGGGAGAAGTTTATGTTGCCCTCGATTTTCAGAAAAATTCCCCAATGTCTGCGTGTGACTTAGATATTTCAGCTGACTGTACTGTTAATCTGATAGTCATCCATCCATTCATCAATTTTGAATTTTTCTTTTATGTAATTTAATCATTTTAGTTTGTGATTTCTTGTTGTTTACTAAACATAACAAAATAAAGATTGCTTATCTTATCTTATATAGTAATGTCTGTTTAGGTTGTAAACAAGATTTTTTTTTAAATTAAGTTTTGTTTTAACTTTTGAGAAAAAATCCACTGACAGTTGTATGATTTTTATTTGAATTCAATAGTTATCACTTACTAACTTGTGAAAAGTAGTTGTTTGGAGTCTTCTAATCATTGTTTTTTAAAGTAATGAAAATGTCATAACATGTTTACCAAATTTTATAAAATATCGCTTATTGTTTGTAAATTCTGTAAAGTAAATTGGTTTTTGTGCAAATCCCTATAAAATTCGATAATTTCCCAATATCGTTAATATCCCTAGAATGCAAATTACAAAATAAATATTCATCTCAATTACATGCATCTGATATCATAGATTATCTATGGTTTCAAAAAAGAGATGGTCAAGGGTTGGGCGCAGGACATTTTAGCGAAAAATTTTAAACTAGTAGGGGACATTTTAGCGCAGACAGTAGAGCCCATTTTAGCGCAGGATTAATCCGTTCACCTGTATTTTCGATAGCCCATTTTAGCGATAACTCACCTGGTTGAATAATACTCACCTTACTAAAACCATGAACAGTAATTTATGCTGGCTTAATGTTTAAGTTGTTTATATGTTTACTTTGATTTTGCCATTTGCTTTGAGACTTTCCGTTTAGAATTTTCCTCGGAGTTCGGTATTTTTGTTATTTTACTTTTTCTCTAGTATATAAATTCCAGGCTAGAACGGACTTTTAACATTTGATTTAACCTTTTAGACTTTTAGTGTTGTATTTTTAATGGACGTGACATTTTTTATATTGTGCTGTCTTGATTCTATTAAAAAAAAAAAAATATTTATTATTTATTATAAAATGGGTTAAAAATTTTGCGCTAAAATGGGCTATACTTTGGCGCTAAAACGTCCGATTTTTTTCGCTAAAATGTCGAATCAATGTGCTAAAATGTCCTCCGCCGCAAGGGTTGTCTGCTACAAACTTATGTAGGTGAAATATTTCGTTGAGTTGGTAGACCATACATAATCTGTGTTTACTGCTTTTTTCAAAGGCTGCTAACGTCAACGATGTCACTTTATAAAGTCATCATATTCACTCTTTTAAACTTAGTTGAGTATGTAGCATAAGAAAGAAAATTATCACACAAATAGATAAAAGCAAAATTCAAGAAAATATAGCAATAAATATTTTTACTCAATGACCATAGGAAATTACATGAAATATTGTAGTTAAACAAGTATTTTTATATACTTTGATACGTGTGTACAAATGTGCAAATAATTATTCATTCAATTAAGTAATTTTTCAGAGATGGTATGATCCCATTTAAATATATTGATACAACTGAAGAAGAAATCCCACCATTTTTTTTTGCAATTAAACTTCAAATGGAGTAAAATATTAACTTTTATTGTTTTTTTGGACGTTTTCTGTGTTGTAAATGAATTAAATGCTTTTAAAAACTTTAATTGTTAAATATTATGATATTAATTAACTTATGTTATTAATTAAGAGATAATATATGTTTTGTGCCTTAATAAGGAAACTGTTGTTTTTTATGTTTGTTGATAATCAAAATGGAACTCAGAATGTATAAAAGTCATTATTTGGCTCCAGAAATTCAAAAATTTGTTAAATTCTGCAAAATTATGATGGTTTTATCGCTTATTGAACAAGATGATATAATCTGTACACTAATGTGCAGAATTGACACTATAATTTTATACACATGTCAAAATACTCAGTTATAGTCAAAAACATGAACCAAAGCCTTACCAATAAACAGCTGCGCCATGAGCCCATGATACGCCCGTCACGTTTTCAACGAATAATGTTCAATAACTTCTCAATGTCATATCAGAAATTTATAAAAAAAAACTAAAGGGATGCTATCTTAATAGATATAAATCAGTCACCAAAGTTTAATGAAAACTGCTCAAAGCACTTTAGGGATATTGTCTGAAAACTTGAAAATCACCCCTTTTTTATGAATAAAATCCCATAAGCCGGAAACGTAAAATATAAAATTTATAAAAATCAAATGGGAGCTTACAACAATAGATATAAACAATTTACCAACGTTTCATGAAAACTGCTGAAAGCATTTTTAAGTTATTGTCTGAAAACTGGAAAATCCCCCTTTTTTTAATGAATAAAACACCATAACTAGTAAACGAAAAATCTGAAATTCATAAGATTCGAAAGGGCGCTCGTCAATAGATATAAACAATTCACTGAAATTTCAGGAAAACTGCTCAAAGCATTTTTGAGTTATTGTCCAAAAACTGGAAAAACCCCCTTTTTGTAATGAATAAAACCCCATAACTCGTAAACGTAAAATCTAAAATTTATAAAAATCGAAAGGGAGCTCATGTCAATATATATAAACAATTAACCAAAGTTTCTTGCAAATTGGTGAAAGTGTTTTTGAGTTATTGTCCGAAAAATGGAAAATCCCCCTTTTTGTAATGAATAAAATCCCAAAACTTGGAAACGTAAAATCTAAAATTTATAAAAAACGAAAGGGAGCTCACGTCAATAGATATAAACAATTCAACAAAGTTTCATGCAAATTATTTGAAGCGTTTTTGAGTTAATGTCCGACATGTTGAAGACGAACGGACAACGGTATACCATAATACGTCCCGTAAACGGGCGTATAAAAAGATAAATGTCATTTTGGTCAGATATTTTAGTTTAGTTATTGGAGTAAAAGTAACATAAGTCCTGTTGGTGTTTTTTTTTCTTCAGTCCTCTTATTTGGGAGGATATTGGAGGTACATGAAAGTATCTGAAATTCCTGATCAGTGCAATAATGAATTATGACGGCCTTCGTGTGTGCAAAATTTCCTTCAAGGCATTAAAAATCCATATTTTTGTGTGGATAATTTCATATTTAATATAATATTTTGATATACATTGATTTCTCTGTAAAATCTTAATTGAACGCTTATAATTCCCTCTCATGGATCCTAGCGTGTGACATAAGTTTTTAAAATCAGCCTAAATATGCATGAAATATTTCAGTCAACATTTAAGTTGAATAAAAAATATTGGTAAAACTATGGAATGCCATGGAAAGAGTTCATCCATAAACGATGCTTTATGTAATCAAAAAGTTGTTAACTATTTTGTGTCTTTGAAAAAGTAAGCATTGTATTGATAAACAATTGTTATATAGTTAAGTTTAATTTATTAATATTATATCTATATTTAATGTGTGACAATTCTTTCCTGTTGAGATGTTTTGTATAATGTTATGCACTGTTTTTATTTCTTTATTCTAACAGCATTAACTTAAAAAATTTTATTTGTTTGTATTGTTTCTTCTTCATTTGAAAATAGTGTTGGCTTAAAGAGGGTCAAATGGACCTCTGAATGCTGGTCCTCCTTACAGCAGATGAATCTTTGCGACAACAAAATTCTGTTTCAAGGAGAAGTGTGCTACCTTCTATATAATGAGTGACACCATGATATCTCCATATACTTTTTCTTGCAACTGTGTTTTATAAGTAGATTCGTTGAGCACTTTCTATTATCATGATTATCAGAAAAAAATTTCAATGGGCAAATATTTTCTAATGAATAAAGGCCCGTCTTAAAAATATGAACACTCCAACTAGGGATGCATTGAGAAGTTTTATTAAGTGTTGACTAAAACCCAATTAATAAACACAAATATTAATGTTTTTTGGGGTATGAACGTTCCTGCTGAAGATAAATCAAAAGAAGTGCTTTGAACGCAACAAAATTATAAAGTGTTATTTTCATTTGGCTATCATGCTGACCTGAGATTTTATTGGAGGAGTAAGATGAAGTGTCCAGAGAGAACCATCTACCATTGCCAGGAAAACAGTCAATCCTAGTCAATTTAAATCGGAGAAAAACACAGTGGCACAACATTGGTTAGAACTCACAACCTCAGTGTTGACAGGCTAGTGATCACTGCAGATTAACTACTTGGACCACTCTGCCACTGAATCACAGATGTTTTTTGGATGATTCTATATAGGATCATTATGGCACCACAGAGCCCCCAAAATGAAATAACAACTCTGCCTTATCTTTGGACAGTGTTCCAGCTTCCACACTTCCTCCAATAATGAACTTCTGTTTTAAAACTAAATATAAGAACAAAAGACCCACTGATCTCGATATTAGCCTAGCAAGATAGCAAGTGTTATTGTCACAGAATAAACATGGAAAAGATGGAAACTAATTCAAACAAGTTCACAGCAAAAACACTGAAAAATTACAAGAATTGTCAACATAGCTTTAAAATACCACAGCAATATAACCAACTGGAGTAGGTAATAAATATTTGCCACTGGATAGTAACCAAACAACAAACAATCGTATATAGTGTAAATTCAGAAATTATTGGGATTTTGAAGAATGAACTAAACTGCGAGATTAATTATTGCGATTTAAGGGAAATCTACATACAGTTATATATGTATCAGATTTCAGAATGCAAGTTCTTATTATTGTGATACTCATTAAATTGCATTACTCGCATTAATAAAAATCTCGCAATAATTTCTTAATTTACAGTACAGTGAACCTTGTATTCATACACAGTTTTAAAGAAACAATACAAAATGAAGCTAAAAAAATTTATTAAACATATAAAATGAAAATGTTTTCAAGATGATCAGGAAACCAATAAAAATACTGATCATGTACAAAATAAATTAAACAAATAACTACACTATTTATTAACAATAAAATATGAATTTTTTAACAAGTTTTTGAAGTTCTTTGGATTAACTTATTTTTTCATGATTTCCAATTTTTGTGGATTGAGGAAAAAATGTATTTTCGTAGATATTTTGAAAAGTTTTGATATCAGCCTGTTTTGAAATGAATAAAATGAAGAAATATAAACAAATTACATAAGATGTTTGATGTTATGATGTCGCAATTACGTCATATTATGCACTATTTTCATTAAAATGAAGAAAACTGCAGACTTTATGCAGTTTTGTTTTCCATCCTTATTTCTTTTGCAGGAAAGTTGTGTGCAGCCGAGAAACAACAGAATAATTTAAGAATAGCTTTATTATTACTATTGACACAATCTCATCAAAAATAAATTATTATTTCTTGCATGCGCACATACATTTAATAGTTGACGTAAAACACAAGGAAAATCAAGAAATTTTACCACATATACAAATTACGTCATGTGTTTTCATGGTTACTCATTAAATGTGAAATATGTTTTTATTTTCTGAACACCTTGTACCCTAGTGTATTTAGGACAAATTTAAGAAAATGTATATATGGTAACTTTTCAATTTGCACTAATATTTGGGACAAATTAGGGCCTTATTGCCCCTACTCCTTTGTGGCTTACTCGTTGTAAAAATTTTAAAACAAAATTGCTTAAGCTGATTTAATCTTCTGACCTGTATAAAGCTCAATTCTGAAGCAACACCATGCATCTTTATAAAAGTCAATGTAGTACTTTGAACAGATTTATTTAGCTACAAACTAAAATTCTTTACATTTTTAGCATTAATCCTACTGTACTAATAGAAGCACAATGTAAAAATATTGATCACAAAAATTATTGTAAAAAATCATAGTGCAAAAATATTTTCTAGACACCATAAATACAAGTCCATATATACATATTATTATTGGCACCACTTATTGCATTTACATAAACTATAAATTTTATTTTTTTTAACAAGTTTAATTAGGTGCACAAGAATTTTATTTACGGATTATATCATTGAAAAAGAACTCTTATCCATGGAGTTCCAATCAGAGTGCATTTCAAAATCAAACCATGTGTTTTTCAACCTCTTATGAAATGTAAATTTTCCTCCTTTTTGTTATTTACACAAATATGAAACTACAAATTCATAATATGAAACTGCAAATTCAAAACTCACGAATCAATGATATTTCCGCTTTTTTGTTATATTCAAAGTATAAAAACACAAATTCACAGCAATGAACCAATCAATATATAATAAAAAAAAACAATAACATAGGCAGTAATGAATTAATAATATGATCGTCATTAAAAACTCTTCAATAAATTGAAAAATTTAAGTATGAAAATCATAACAAAATTGTAAAGGGTTCTGCTGAACTAAGTGTCTCACTTGCAATTGCTGTTGTAAGTGTACAAGTGTAATATTGATGACAAAAATTAAGTCCATTTATCAGTTACATACAGAAAAAATACAAACACATTTTTTTTTCCCTTCAGATATTTCTAATTCTTGAACTTTAAGAAGCTTATTTCCAAATTTCAAAACATTTCATGAAGGTTTATCAAAGTTAACAATGTCTTAAAAATGTAATCCCCTACTGTATGTATTTATTAACTTCAAAACAAACCAAGTCCACTTATTAGTAAAATGCAGAAAAATAAAAAATAAACAAAACTTTGGTTATGACATTCTTCATTCATATAAAAAAAATCTGCTCAAGTTCTATGTAGGTTTGACACTGTGATGAAAATTAAAGTCCATTTAACAGTAAAATATTGGAAAATGTTCAAACAAAATTCAAAATTAAATTGGGATTCTATTTTTTTTTCATGAAAAAGCTTGTTATGTCTGTCCAACTTTCATAAAATTCCATGAAGGTTTAAGAAAGTTATTAATGTCTGAAAAACTTAAAAATTAGACTGTATCTTAATGCTAACTGCTGAAAACAAGAATGTGTCCATAGTACATGGATGCCCCACTTGCACTATCATTTTCTATGTTCAGCGGACTGTGAAATTGGGATCAAAACTCTAATTTGGCATTAAAATGAGAAAGATCATATCATAGGGAACATGTGTACTAAGTTTCAAGTTGATTGGGCTTCAACTTCATCAAAAACTACCTTGACCAAAAACTTAAAAAAAAAACTAGGTGGGGCATGAAAACCTACAAAATTATGAATATTCAAAATATCTTACCAAAAAATAAGCACTTATATGCATACCTATACACACATATTCAAACTTTTATTCTTACAGGAAGAAATTAAAATGAGTTATAATTTTTATTACATTTTCCTCTTAAATTCAATACAATACTGAGCTAACCTCTTGAAATAAAAGTATTTACTGACTTACAACTCCTATTCCTTTTTTTTTTGATAATTCAGTAGTTCTAAATAAATAAACTTAAATATCTATATAACATAACATAACATAACAAGATCTAAAATAAAAAAATGATTTAACACACAATGAGAAAAATGTACATGAAAAACAAGAGATTTAAGAGATAGGATATGCATATTAACAAAATACATGAGGGTATGGATGTGGGTCCTTCATTTCTGTATTCTTAATTTTTTTATTTGCCAATTTTCTCTATTCTTTATTTTTCAGTACCCCATTATTCTCTTGATTTTATTGGCCTATTTTTCTCTTTCCTTTATATTTTTTGCCCGTTATTTTTCACGTTTTGCCCATTATTCATTATTCTGTAAACCCCATACAGACCCTCATACATAGTTCTTTGACTACATTAAATCAATCACTGGTATGGGTATTTACATTGTGAACATACTCAGAAGTAGGTTTTAAATTAAAAAGTGGACTATAACCTGCCTAAGGAAACATTTCTGGTAAAATTGTCCCACATTGTGACAATGGAAAAAAATTATTAAATTTGCAATGACTGTTACGTTGTAGCAAATATTTTCTTCTTCCTTTCAGCTGTTGAAAACTACCTCTTAATCTATCTATTTAAAGTTAATAAAAAAAATAATATATCTAGATTAACAATAGCACAAATCTGCTTACATTTTGTACAAGAAGATTTAAAGAGGTATCACTTAATAATCAACATACATATTTTTAGGTACACAAAGTACATTTATATACCAATATATATGCTAATGGAATGATTTTTATCTACAGAGATCATATCTATTATGTTCCCTAGTTATCACAGACAAAGATAACGTTTTGGAAAATACATACATACACTTCTAGTATAGGACCCTGATCAAATGGATGCCCTAGAACATTTGGGCAGGAAAAACAGGTTATTCTATATTTCAACTGACATGACTGAGGGGGATGGCACGCTTTTGGGATGTAGGATATAGGGAGTAAAAAAGTGGGATCTGAGAAAAGGAGAAAAAGAGTGGGAATTGGGGACAAAATTACAAATTGGTAAATTTGCAACCCCATGTCACACACGCCTCATCGCTGAACCAAACAGATGTAAGAAGTCTATTGATATTTCCGTTGGTAGCTAACATTTCATCTTATTTTTCAATCCTTCAAAGTAAAACTTTATAGCTGAATGTTGGGTGTATTTTTGTGACTTCAAAAAAAAACTTCAGCTTATTTTTCCTGTCTGTATACATCAAAGTTATGGGCATACACTGAATTAATCCTTTTATTGACTTCTCATAACTCTCTTGAAACTTCATTATCTGTAGGGCTCATAATGTATTTCATTGTTATTACAGTAGAAGAAATAATTTGATCGATATGCTCTCTTTTATCACTTGATATGTTTTATACAATATACTGTTTTGATGACCGTTCCTTTAATGTTTCCGTGAACAGTGGACATAGCCAGCCTAATGGATGACCTGCAAAGAAAAACGACATTTTAGAATATTTAGGATGTTAAAATAAAATAAATAGCTATAGTTAAATTAGACTTGAGTAAGGCACAACAAGAATGGACAAGATGTCATACTAAGCATACTCCATCGACAAATTCGAAGTATCAAAAAACAGAAAGTACTCACTATAGGTATCTGACAAATTTGAAAAGCAAACACACACATTATAAACAAATCATCATTGTCAACATTTTAAGTTCATTTAACATATTCAAACTATAGTACTGGAGAAATGTGTGAAGATAATATTGAATTCATTTAAGTATTGAAGAAATTTAAAGTATAGAGAAACACAATGTTGGTGTCTGACAGATCCCAAAAGTGCCCACATGTTACAACACATCATTCACTGAAAAGCTTTTGACCAGATATGAAGTCATTTTGATAAACAGTACTTTCTAGAAAAATATGATGAAAATATTTGTTGGACAAACGGATGGACAGGCATGATAAAGATAAATCTGAGGTAGGTCAACCCAATCAAGATGTTTTACTTGAGAAATTGTCATCTCAATTCATTCATTTTATACTAACACTCCTAGTAAGCAATGACAACAGTAATATTTCAGATATTGTACTTTGAAAACAATGGTAGCAATATGGGATTTTAATGATCAAAGGGACATAACTCAAGAAAAAAAATGCAACATCATGTTTCTGCTTTACAGTAATCAAGATTAATTCAAATATCTAAAGTTCGAAATTTGTCTTCTGATTTCAGATAAAAAATGTAGCTTGGTTGTGCAATATTTTTGGTAATTTCTGTTATTCTTTTTTATGCATCACATATTAAATTCTGTCATTTAAGATAGGAACAACAAATTAAATTGAAAACAATAGAAACTTCTTTAAGTCTATATAACACTCAAAAAGAATTAAAGCAAATGCATAAATAATAATCAAATGTTCATAGAAATAAGAAGATGTGGTATGAGTGCCAATGAGACAACACTCCATCCAAGTCACAATGTGTAAAAAGTTAAAAATTAAAGGTCAAGGTACAGTGAGCAGAATGTTACAACATTTCAAGAAATGAGAGTTAATTATAACAGCTTTCGTTGTTTGTCAATTTTCAAGTGCCTTCAAGGAATACTTGTGCTTATATGGAAAATACACCCACTTTAAAAACAACAATTATTTTGATAATTTACCTCTACCAAAGACCTCTTGTAGCAAGCTATACATTGATTTTTTCTCTCTTCTTATTCCTTCTTTTTTAACTTGTTCTACAAGTGTTTCATCACCTAATATGGAAGATATCTGAAAAAAAATCAATAATCAAACCACAATGAAGACAAACACATAAAATATGATTTTACAATTCAATACAATATAATATTGAAACTTCATCTGGATAAAGTCACACCAGCAAGTAACATACATGTGTAAGGATTTTTTTAAATTTTGTTATAACATTAACAGAACCAATTTTTCTGCGCCAGATGCGGATTTAGACAATAAATGTCTCTTCAGTGATGCTTGAGGACAAAATATTGAAAATCCAAAATTATTTATATCTAGCCAATTCTATATAGACACCAGGTAAGTAGTGTCACTTTACATTGAATCCAACGGAGGTTATGAGGTATCACAATATATTGGTAAGAAATAAAGGTTCTTAGTAGATGAGGTCAAATTCAGTTTATATATTTTGCTTTGTAGTTTCAGAGGTGAAGGATTTAAAGTTTTAGAAAACAAAATGTAGGTGTCTGTAAGAACATTACAAGACATCACTGTCTAGCTGCAACCAAATATGAAGTAATTCTGTTCATTAGTACTTGAGAAATGAGTGAAGAATATATTTAGTTCATTAAATATAGTATAGACAAGAAGGGAGTAGGTGTCTGACACATCTGGAAAGTGATTGCATGTTACAACTCATCACAGTCAAGCTGCTGACCAAATATGATGTCATTCCTTTCAAATGTATCTGAGAAAAGTGTGACAAAAATAATTGTTTGATGAACAGACCTACAGACAAGGTGATTTCAATAAAGCCCCACCTCCTAGATAGAGCGTGGGAATAATTAGTTTTATAAAACAACAATGAGACATTTTTTTTGCAAGTTTTGTTCTGATTGATTGATTGATTATTTATTGGTTGCTTAGCTTTGAATCAGCACAAAAAGGCTATCATGGCTACAGGTTCAGATAAATTATGCAGTCTCAGAGAAAAATATAAAAATTTTATCCTGCAGCTCTCATATTATTTAAAGTGTTATAACTTTTTCAACTAATTAGGAGATAATAGTATTGTATCTCAAGCTCCGACGGCATCAATTGATTTAATGGTCGCAGATTTAGTTTACTAGCGATGCGTTAGCGGAGCCAGTAAACAGATATTTGCGACCATCAGATCACCAATTGATGCCCTAGGAGCTTAAAATACAATATTGTTATCTCCATTCAAATGAAACTGACAGAAAACAATGTCAAATCATACATTTAAAATCTGTCAAACTTCGTGTAAGTAATCATGAAAATTGGTGACGTTATCCAATTAAAATGAACGTCACAAACGATGTTGCATTAGAATAACTTTTTTAATGTGCAGGTTGTAAAGCATAAAATGTTTAAAAACATTTTTTCTGAAATATATCTTTGATATATTAGAGATGCATGTTACATTCGACAGTCATACCTGATCACAACCAATAGCTATAACAAACATTCCAAATAAAACACACTCCACTATCAGGATCACAGAATGTATGCTGAAGAAGAACAAAAACATGTCTCAATTATGTACATGTACACTCTACAATGAGAATTACACAAGTTGAGCTAAAAAGAACAATCTACTGCAGAATCATTAATATTTGTGGATACAAATTTGTCATGGATTTCCTGGTTATCAAGGTTATAGATTAACTTTGAATTTTGATGTTCAACTAAGTGCCAATTATCTATAGGCTTGTATGCAAGCTTTGGCAAACCATGAAATCAAATATTCACAAAATAGTATTTTTTCCTCAATCCACTAATATTAGTACCCATGAAATTAGAAGAATCCACAGTAGATCATTTGCATATCAGAATCAGAGAATATCTGCTGTATATATACGTATACATATTTGTTTAGGGGCCAGCTGAAGGACGCCTCTGGATGCGGGAGTTTCTCGCTGCATTGAAGACCCATTTGTGGCCTTCAGCTGTTGTCTGCTTTATGGTCGGGTTGTTGTCTCTTTGACACATTCCCCATTTCCATTCTCAATTTTATGTAAATACATTTTCTGTGTATTGCTATAGGATTGTGTCGTTCATTACTGTTTATAATATTGCTGAATGAAATCTACTCAGAAGTATAATCAATGATATTTTATTTTCAACATCTACAAAATGTGCTGATTTTGAAGCCTATAACATGTATAAGATCTGTTATCAAGCATTAAGGTTTTTTAAAAAGATACATTTACACATGATTTAAGAACAAAATTGTGACTGTTTTGATAATTAATGACAAAGTTGAAGTAGAAGGCATAAGTAAACCTTGTTCTTAACTCTACTTTGTTGAGTTGGTAAGGTTGTATTCATTTACTTTATAATGTATCCACATTTTTCCTCAGTAAAGATTTTCAATTAAAACTAACGTCTTTATTGATTGATTGATGTTTAAGGCCAATGTCAGCACTATTAGGACGGTCTGTTGGTGGAGGAAGCCTGAGTTCCCCTAAAGAACCAGGTCCTAATCAATTAAGATTGGAGTCTCGAGTGCACCTGTAACATGCAGTGTTCAAACTCACAACCTCAGTATTGACAGGCTAGTGATACAGTAGTTTGACAACTTAGACCAATTGGCCACCAAGGCCCAGAATAACATTTTCATATTTCATATCCAGTCTCTAATGAATTATTATTTGTTTCTCATATTTCAAAATGTTTCTTTTTATTTAGTTTAACTTTATCTAATATATGTTTATAATACTAATTTTTTATGTTTAAACATTTCCATAATTTTTAAAGTTTAAAGAGTTTACAGTTGTGTACAAAAATGTATATATACATTTACTCACAAAGTTTACTTAATTCACTTACAGCTTTGTGTGCTTATATGTGCTGGTAACATTGGGATCCATTACCCAGGATGTGACCACCATGGTAGTGGCATAGCAACTAGCCATACCTACAAAGAAAGACTTTAAGTAGAAGAGTTTTATTTTGTCATGAGAATCAATGTTTTCTGTTGTTATATTTCAAATATCAAATTTAGATAGAGGGATATATACATGTAGCTCTTGTATCGATTAAATTAACAATGGACTTTAGTTTATTGACAGATATTCACACATTTAGTTCTTGCTAATGTTCCCACTACAAGCCATGACATTTCCCTTGCTATGCTTACAAAAAAAATACATCTGATGCACTGTTTCTTTCACAGATGTCAGTTTATATGACATGAAATCCATTTTAAAAAAGTACACACAATTGTATTAGTATGAAGATTTCTGTATATTTCCTTACTCTGGAAGGTATTTGTAACGATTTAATAACCTTTTTGTGTTATAACATCTAATATATTTGATAATTCCTGTTGATTCATATTTTTCCATCTATAATTTGCCCCATTCTATTATTTCACTAATTTGACTAGTTCATGAGGATATAGGGTCTTACAAGCTTATGTATGTTTTTAAAACATTCATTATCTATCAACATGATCAAGATTACAGCTATATAAACTTTCACTGATTCAAATTTCTGTCAATCCATGAAAATCAGTATCCATGAATATACATGAATTCACAATATATGATAATGACACTACAAAATATACAATCATTTTTAAAAACTTACCCACATAAAATAAAAACTGTATAAAATATTTTTGATTCAACTCTCCAACACAATTATTTATCCTGAAAAAGAAAACAAAATGATAATATCATATGCAGCTGCCAAAGTATGTTCTATATGTGGATCAAAGTATCTCAAGTATATTACTATGCAAGCATATTTTAGTTTTTTTGATATAAGGTTTATTACTGGAAGTTCTTTGTACATGAAAGTCACTTTAAAATTGCGATTTGCTGTTTATCAGTCAAGCATGCAGTATTCAGTGATCAGATCAGAGTGAGAATAATGTGTCCAGGTAATATGAACTACCATTTTAAAATTGTGGCTCAGCATACATCTGTCTGTCTAGTACAATGCAGGGTTCATATGCATATCACATTATTTCTAGTGACACTCAGATCAGTGCCATCAGAAAAAATATCTTTTTTGGCATTTTATTTACAATCATGGCAATTTTTATTAAGGGTGACAAAATAAGAATATATATACATGATATATATCTTATAACATGTATAAATACACCCATTGTTCATTTAATTTATATACATGTAGCATGTCTGTTTTTTTTATAGTACAGTGATGTGGTTTTTGTACTGTGCTATACTTTTGGCTAATAGATATAGGAAGATGTGGTATGAGTGCCAATGAGACAAATCTCCATCCAAGTTACAATTTATAAAAGTAAACAATTATAGGTCAAGGTACGAACCTGTTATACCTTTATACATATTGTATAAGAAAATTCCCTTTTTTAACAAAGGAAACACTGGTTCTGACAACATCTTTTCAACATATGATCTTTGTCTATCAAGCTGTTTGCAGATTACAAACTACTTACCAAGGACAATGATGGTCCATTTTTCTGATACATCTTCTACAGATTCTACAATGATGGGCTCTAGGTGGTCTGTAAGTCTCACATTTATTACATACACTCCAGCCATCTTTCTGTAAATCAATTCAAATCATATTATAAAATGTTTATGTGGCTAACTCAACCATTTTAATTTTAACAATCAGAAACATAAGTTTATCGAATCAAGCCTTGACTGATTGTGATACAGATAGGATGTCTATAAACAAGACAACAATGATTTTTCTTAATTTGTCCTTTTTTTCATTCTGTTAAAGAATTTCATGATAATGCTTAAATTTAAATTTTAAATGAATTTTGTTGGTATCAATTTTTTGAGGATTTAGGTCGAAGGAAATTTTTGTATGGATACTTGTATTAGAGGTTTTGTTAAATTCTACATACACGTCTATAGGAAATTTGTATTTTGTTGAATACTTTAATTTATGGTTTACATTTACTTTAAACATGGTAAACATGGATATTTGAGTGAGGTGTGCGGTTGTCTATACTTATTTTCACGATTTCAGGATCATGTGAAAAATTCAAATATCTATATAATAGAAGCGATACTGATGTGACAGACAAATGCTTTGTTGGATGCACAAATTAAAACCCCTGTGTGAAAAATCAATGCACTGAATTTAATTGTACATATACAATCAGACCATTAATATGACTACATTTATCTTTAATATTGATTGAACTTACTGTGTTAGGTATAGTTCTTCCAGCGTGTAGATCTGAGAAGTCCAGTCCATTTTTTGGCAATGGGACAATCCCTGGGTCAGACAGCACTGCCCTCAAATGTGACACTGTCATAAGAAATACGATCAGGTTGAAGAGGATCACACAAAAAGTTCCCCATAATCTGAAATACAAATGAACATAAATGATATCATGATGTACAAAAATGTATCATTACATGAACTTGTGGTTTTTTGTCTAATATACAAAGCACATTTTCATTAAGTGTCTTTCTATGTTCCTTTTTTTATTTCTCCGAGGCCATGCAAAAACGATTGTTTGTTTCCCCTAACCCTGCAGGGTGTGTTTTTACCCTCTGGGTCCTTTTTTTTATTTCCTTTTTTTTTTTTTTTGCAGATGACCAAACAAGTGTTGCTCTGGTTTCTTTCGACAATTTTCGATGATGCTTTTTAAAATTGTCTGATAATCTCTTAAAAGTGTGTCAACATTGCTAAATTATCATTCCTTTTGTTTCACATAGCTTTAACCATAATCATGATAATATAGAATGTAAAACATTCTCTGCAGACATGGAAGAGAAAAATTGGGAGATAATGTGATATGAAACAAAAGGCTGAGATCCTCGCCTCCTAATAGCATAAATAGCCTGAACAGCTCACCTATCAAACTTGAGGCTCTCAAGAGCCTGTGTTGTTCACTGTATCTACTGTGGTTTTGGAAATCATTTAAAATAAGGTTAAAATCATCATAAATAGTATTAGATATCCTAATAATGATTGAGGCTAAGTTTGGTTTAATTTGGCCCAGTAGCATGAGTAGTAAAATTAAAAGCAGGTCCCATTGTAGTCTTACAATAGTTACTGAAGACCCCTCATCATTATTTAAATTAGTTTTCAAGTTGTGACCATTTGAAATTGTTTTTTTACAATTTTCCCTTAGACTTCTATAGCAAACCCCTATGTTCTATTTTTAGCCATGGCGGCCATGTTGGTTGGATGACAGGGTCATCGGATACATTTTTCAATCATGATACACTTAATATTGAAAATTGTGGCTAAGTTTAATTCTATTTGATCCAGTCATTGCCAGTAGATTAAGTGGAGAAGATTTTTGTAAAAGATTACAAAAATTTACAAAAAAATTGTTAAAAATTTACTATAAAGGGCAATAACTCCTTAAGGGATCAATTGACTATTTTGGTCATGTTTAACTTATTTGTAGACCGTACTTTGCTGAACATTATTGCTGTTTACCATGTTTACAGTTTATCTCTATCTATAATAATATTTAAGATAATAACCAAAAACTGTAAAACTTCCTTAAAATTACCAATTCAGGAGCAGCAACCCAACAACGCATTGTTTGATGTTTGAAAATTTTAAGGCAGATAGATCTAAACCTGATCAACATTTTAACCCCAGTCAGATTTTTTCTTTATGCTTTAGTTTCAGAGATATATGCATGATATAAGCCAAAAACTGCATTTTGCCCATGTTCTATTTTTAGCCATGTCGGCCATGTTGGTTGGCAGGCAGGGTCATCAGACACATTTTTGAAACTAGATACCTGATGATGATTGTGGCCAAGTTTCAGTAATTTTGTCTCAGTAGTTTCAGAGGAGAAGGTTTTTGTAAAAGATTACAAAAATTTATGAAAAAATTGTTAAAAATTGACTATAAAGGGCCATTACTCCTTAAGGGGTCATTTGACAATTTTGGTCATATTTGACTTATTTGTAGATCTTACTTTGCTGAACATTATTGCTGTTTACAGTTTTCTCTATCTATAATAATATTCAAGATAATAACCAAATACAATGTACTGCAAAATTTCCTCAAAATTACCAATTCAGGGGCATCAACCCAACAACAGGTTGTCTGATTCGTCTGAAAATTTCAGAGCAGATAGATTTCAACCTGATAAACATTTATACCCAACGTCAGATTTGCTCTAAATGCTTTAGTTTCAGAGATATAAGCCAATAAATTGCTTCGGCGAGCACAGCTGGATACGACTGCAGAGGTCCAACCCTGAACAGTTGGGGCAAAAATGGACACAATATTCGCGCTTGATACATGTCTGAATTTGGATTGTAATTAAATATTTGACACATAATAGGTTTCTGACACAGAATAACTGTAGTCAAAGAACTTAGAATTGGTTATATGGTTTGAATTTATATTCAATCATTTGCTTTTTGCTTTTGTGCAATACACTATGCTATTGCAAATTGACCCCCCCCCCCCCAAAAAAAAAAATTTTACCCCCTTTTTGAAGAAATTTTCTTTTTAATTTCTGAAATCTAAAATGAGAAAAATTTGTCCCCCCCTCACAATTTATTTTTTAACCCCCCCCCCCCCCCACTTTCCTAAAAAAAATTCTTTCCCTCAAGATATGGTCATAATCTCAATTCAAATTTCCAATGGAGTTTGCAACCATAATTACCCATTTTATTACATCATAAAAGTCTTAAAATAGAAAATGACATACATAATCATGGCTAAAATTAATATGACCACAGACCACAATTAAATTCTCTATTAGTTCTTTATAACGTTTTGTTTCATTAAAAAAAAATGCACCGAATCTTTTTGTCAAATATTTTGTGTGTGTAAATTACAGTACTAGTCCAAACATATATCCAACATTCAGAAAGATTGCTTCCCAGTATCTTACAAATTTAGCCAATACACATCCATATCCCTATGGACAAGTCAAGAGATGTTCCGAAAACTGTAAATATCACCTTTTTGCACCTGGCCTAATCACTCTTTCCATATCAAAATCAGTTAAAATACAACATCCAAAAGTTTATTTCACCTCTCTTCTTTCATTTCCACCCAAAAAACACTAAGAAATGGGTGAGGAAGGGAAAGAAAAAAAATTAAGAAAAAATACACTCTAATTAAAAGGAACTATATCATGTATATTCGTGGACAACGAAAAGCCGGATCATTAATTGTGGTCTGGGGCCATATTCCTTAATCAGCAGTTTTAAATAGTAACTTCTAAAAATAAATTGACAGCTAATCACCTCAAGACAATACAACAATTCTTAATACATAATTTAAAAGCAGTGTAAGGGAGGTAATCCAAACATAACATTGTACTTTTTTTTAATTGTCCATTAACCAGGAAACCCTTGTTTTCCTCCTTTTTTGCCCCTATTTCCTAAGCGGTTTGAGCCATAATCCCCCAAAGCCAATCCTAACCATCCCTTTGCGGTATGAAAACTTGTTGTATAATTTCAGAGAGATCCATACACCGTTCCACAAGTTATTGTCTGGAAACTAGAAAAATGCTTATTTGGGCCCTTTTTTGGCCCCTAATTCCTAAACTGTTAGGACTATAACCCCCAAAATTAATCCTAACCTTTCTTTAGTGGTTATAAACCTTGTGTTTAAATTTCATAGATTTCTATTTACATTTACTAAAGTTATTGTCCGGAAACCAAATGTCTTCTGACAATGCTAACGACGACGTCGTGATACCAATAAACGACCGCAAAATTTGACAGAAGAGATATAAGCCAAAAACTGCATTTTACCTATGTTCTATTTCTAGCCATGTCGGCCATGTTGGTTGGCAGGTGGAATCATTGGACACATTTTTTAAACAAGATACCCTAATGATGATTGTGAACAAATTTGGCTAAATTTAGCACAGCAGTTTCAGAGGAGAAGATTTTGGTAAAAGTTAACGGTGGATGACGGATGCCGAGTGATGAGAAAAACTCACTAAGCCCATTGGACCATGTGAGCTAAAAATGGAGATAATGGGCGGAAACCTTGAAAAACAGTCAAAAATCTTCATTTAAGGGCAGTACATCATCACTACATGTTATAACTTCTATTAGGATTCATCCTAGAGGGGGGTAGGACCTTAATCGGGACTCCGGGATCAGGTTTTTTTAAGCTCGGGATTTTGGGATTGATTCTTTCGGGATCCGGGAATTCTATGTCGTGATTTAAATTTTTTTATATTCGGGACCTCGGGATTCCATGTTTTTAAGCCCGGGATTTCGGGATCAGGACCCCTCCTACCCCCCTCATCCTACATTTATAGTCAGGGATATTACTCTATAGGGTTATTACAGAAAATAACTTGCATGTGTTATTACAGATACTTTCATGAGTTGTCTACTTTTTAATCCTTAAATTTCAAATCAAAGGGGGACTATTATTCATAGAAACCGGCCCGCGGCCTGTAGACAACTTACGTGTTGGACATCACAGGAATAACAAGATGCCATATCACGACGTAATCTGCATAAAATACTGCTGAGTATGTAATTATAATGCAGATTATTCCACAAGGATCAGATCTGAAAACAGCCATAGCCAGATATCTTCATAGTATGGCCTCAAATCGACATTAAAAATTGTAATGTTTCGAAATTGGAAATTAGCAACCGGAAAAAGAAATGCAGGGAGATAATTAATATTTGGATATGGATAAGTACCTAATAGGGGGAAAAAACACACAGCAACGGTCTTGAATTTTTGATTTAAAAATGTTGATCACTCAGACTGTTATTTGGATTTCGTTATGTCTAACTTTATATATATATAAACTTTGATTTCCTTTTGTTGCATTCGAGAATGTAAATACTTGTATCAACTAATCATAGATATGCATGTATAGGTATACGTAACCATCATAACCTCTTTTATTACAATTTCTACACTACTTCCGTTTAGCCACCAACCTGACGAGACGGTCGATTATATTTAATTTTAATAAATTAACACACTTAAAGACACAGATGAGTTCTGCAACTGACCCAAAGCAACTAGAGGATGTACAAGGCGATGATCGATGGATTAGTCAGGTATAACAGATATCCAATGTTTCCCCAATCGTTCAGCTGTTTCACATGTAAACAGTTCTTCAGTTGCAGGTCCTCATATTTTACATGCATAAATGTTCTCTCTTCGTACATCTTTGCACTTAAAATCAAGAATGTTGATGTTACGAGCGTTTTGTTCTATTCCTTCAGTTTTTCTTTTTCTTCACCATGTTCACAGACAATTACTTTTAAATAAAATTGAGAATGGAAACTAGGGATGTGTCAAAGAGACAACAACCTGACCAAGGAGCAGAAAAGAGCAGAAGGCCACCAATGGGTCTTCAACACTGCGAGAAAATCCTGCACTGGGAGGCTTTGTTGTTTATGTTGTTCCTAATAGTAATATCATGAATATTAATGTACATGTATATATATCATGTATATATATTTAAATCGAATGAAAACTTGATATTAGATTTTCTGTGCTGTATTTCTGCAATCAAGAACAAGATGTCTCAGGATAGCATGATTCATTTCCTTACATTATCATTGTATCAGCTGGACCCCTGATACAGTACTACATGTATGTGGTAAATGCTTACCATTTGTAACCAACAGCTTAAAGAAGTAATCCTCTGGATGGACCCTAATGAAGGGCGGTAATGGAGTACTCACATGACGAATGACGGTAAAAATGTTTGTAAAAATAACATTAACGATAAACATGATACATAGTTTATTCCATTTGACGCTAACTGTAGCTACTAAATGAGATTTGACAAATGATGATAGAAAATAAAGGCTCATTTGACGCTAACGGTGGTGAATTACGGACTTTTGGCACATGAAGATAAAGGGCATTCCTACCCTCTTATATTAATTTAAAGTTTTATTAAGAGTTGATATGCAGTAAACTACTGTAAATTCAGAAATTATTGCAACGTTTTTATTATTGTGAAAAATGCGACAGGGTTACAAATGTATAATCACAATAATTTAAACTCGCATTTTGAAATTTTTTACATGAATTAAAAAGGATTTTTCTCAATATAGCAAAAATTAGAATTACATTTTAGTCTAAAATGACAAAATCTCAATAATACATGCATGCAATAATTTCTGAATTTACAGTGACATAAACCCAAGCTCGGGTGAGTTTTTCAAATCTACTAGGCCATGAGAGTATTGTTACAACAAATTTTATTGGTTAGTACACATGTTAAAGTTGTGAAGCCATCTCAACATAATCATCATCATGATCATGACAATGATTACTTTGAAATTTTATTCCACAAGATTCTTTTTAATCATTTAAACAGCAGATTAAATAAATAATTAAATTTGATTGGAGAATTACAGACGTGACAGAAATAACTATTGATTTTTATACGACCGCAAAAAATTTTTGCGGTCGTATATTGGTATGACGTTGGCGTTGTCGTCGTCGTCTGAAGACACATTGGTTTTCGCACACTGACTTTAGTTTAAGTGAATGGATCTCTATGAAATTTTACTATAAGGTTCAATACCACAAAAGGAAGATGGGGATTGATTTTGGGGGTTATGGTACCAACAGTTAAGGAATTATGGGCCAAAAATAAGCATTTTTGTAACTTCCAGACATAACTTGTGTGTTAGTGTATGGATCTCTCTGACATTGTACCACAAGGTTCCATATCATAAAGGGAATGCTGGGATTGATTTTGGGGGTAATTGCCTCAATATTTTAGGAATGAGGGGCCAAAAAAGGGGCAAAAAACAAGCATTTTTCTAGTTTCATGACAATAACTTGTGTGCAAGTGTATGGATCTTTCTGAAATTGTACTACAAGGTTCCATATCACAAAGGGAAACCTGAAATTGAGTTTGGGGGTAATTGCCAAAAATGTTTAGGAATAAGGGGCCAAAAAGGGGCCAAAAATAAGCATTTTTCTAGTTTCCAGACAATAACTTGTGTTCAAGTGTATGGATCTCTCTGAAATTGTACTGCAAGGTACCATACCACAAAGGGAAGGCTGGGATGGATTTTGGGGGTAATTGCCTCAAAATTTTTTAGGAATTAGGGACCAAAAAGGGGCAAAAAACCTGCATTTTTCTAGTTTCAGGACAATAACTTGTGTGTAATTAAGTGTATGGATCTTTATGAAATTGTACTACAAGGTTCCATATCACAAAGGGAAACCTGAAATTGAGTTTGGGGGTAATTGCCAAAAATGTTTAGGAATAAGGGGCCAAAAAGGGGCCAAAAATAAGCATTTTTCTAGTTTCCAGACAATAACTTGTGTTCAAGTGTATGGATCTCTCTGAAATTGTACTGCAAGGTACCATACCACAAAGGGAAGGCTGGGATGGATTTTGGGGGTAATTGCCTCAAAATTTTAGGAATTAGGGACCAAAAAGGGGCAAAAAACCTGCATTTTTCTAGTTTCAGGACAATAACTTGTGTGTAATTAAGTGTATGGATCTTTATGAAATTGTACTACAAGGTTCCATATCACAAAGAGAAAGCTGGGTTTGAGTTTGGGGGTAATTGCCCTAAACGTTTAGGAATTTGTGGCCAAAAAGGGGCAAAAAAACAAGCATTTTTCTAGTTTCCAGACAATAACTTGTGTTCAAGTGTATGGATCTCTCTGAAATTGTACTGCAAGATACCATACCACAAAGGGAAGGCTGGGATTGAGTTTGGGGGTGGTGGATGATAAGGGGTTTAAAAAATTGGGGGGGGGGGGATTTTTTCCCTTTTTTTTCTTTAAAATTTTCCATTTAAAATTGGTTATTTCTGATTTATATATAAAAGCAAATAATAATGATATGGTTTCAATAGGTAAATTAAGAATTTATAAGGTCTTAGACCACATTCATTCTGTGTCAGAAACCTATGCTGTGTGTCAAATATATAATCACAATCCAAATTCAGTGCTGTATCAAGCTTGAATGTTGTGTCCATACTTGCCCCAACTGTTCAGTGTTCGACCTCTGCGGTCGTATCAAGCTGCGCCCAGTGGAGCATTTTATTTAAATTCAGTTTGGTATTTTTTTATTACAGCATAAAAGATTTATGTTAGAAGCCAAAGAGAGAGAGCCTGAAGTTGTATTCATAGGTGACTCACTCATACAACACATGCAGTTCTCTGAGGTAAGTGACTCACTCATACAACACATGAAGTTCTCTGAGGTAGGTTACTCAGTCATACAACACAGGCAGTTCTATGAGGTAGGTGAGACTCATACAACCCAGCAGTTCTCTGAGGTAGGTGACTTTCATACAACACATGCATTTCTCTAGGGTAGGTGACTAACTCAAACAACACATGCAGTTTTCTGAGGTAGTTTATTCACTCATACAACACTTACACTTCTCTGAGGTCACTGACTCACTCATATAACACATGCAGTTCTCTGAGGTAGGCATGGTAGGTGACTCACTCATACAACAAATGCAGTTTTCTGACTTAGTTTATTCACCCATACAACACTAACAGTTCTTTGAGGTAGTCAACTCACTCATACAACACATATATACAGTTTTTGGAGGTAGTTACTAATTCATACAACACATGCAGTTCTCTGAGTTAGCTGACTCACTCATACATACAGTTTTCTGAGGTTTAGGACTCACTAGAACAACACTTGCAGTTGTCTGAGGTAGCTGGTCAACACATACAGTTTTCTGAGGTGTAGGACTCACTAGAACAACACTTGCAGTTGTCTGAGGTAGCTGACTCACTCAAACAACACATACAGTTTTTGAGGTATAGGACTCACTAGAACAACACTTGCAGTTGTATGAGGTAGCTGACTCACTCATACAACACATACAGTTGTCTGAGGTATGGGACTCACTAGTACAACACTTGCAGTTCTCTGAGATAGCTGACTCACTCATACAACACATGTAGTTCTCTGAGGTAGCTGACTCACTCATACAACACATGTAGTTCTCTGAGGTAGCTGACTCACTCATACAACACATGCAGTTCTCTGACATAGCTGACTCACTCATACAACTTGTGCAGTTCTCTAAGGTATCAGGATTTTTTTATTTATACACAGTTTTGATTAAGAAGAAAAAAACCAATATGGTTAGAACTTAGAAAATACAAAAAATAACACCATTACAACATGTACAAACACAATTCCATTTTAATATTCTTGTCATGTTTAAGAAATACATAAAATACCACCATTACAAACTCAATCCCAATTTATATTCTTGTACGTGTCGATGAATTAAACTAATCTATTTTATTTTTTAGAAATTTACCTGTGATAATATAGACGTCACAAAAAATACGTCACTGTTTGTGATGTTGATCCATTCATGTGACGCACAGTTTATGTTTCGTTTGTGGTGTCCTGGTGTGCTGTCGTAAATTCATGAGAGGTGTTCGTTATTATTCTGTGGTTTACATGTTGTAATGTACTAGTATATTATATATTCATGTATTTCTCTGTACTGAGTGTTCTTGCGTTTGTTTGTACTGTATTCCTGTCACGTAGTGTTGTCATTTTAGCTGTATTTTTAACATTGCCATATAAGCCGGAGGTTTGGCTAGCCATAAAACCAGGTTCAAACCACCATTTTTTCTTAAAATGTTCTGTAAAAGTGAGGAATATGGCAGTTATCACACAATCAGTTTCTATGTATGTTGGCGTTTGCCTTTGTTGTAGTTCAGTCTTTCCGTTGTTTTCCTCTTATAGTTGATGTGTTACCCTCGGTTTGAGTTTGTTACCCGGATTTGTTTTTGCTTAATCGAATTATGACTATTGAACAGCCGTATACTACTGTTTCCTTTATTTACTTAAACACATGCAGTTCTCTGAGGTAGTTTACTCACTCATAAAACACATGCAATACTATGATGTATGGAAATCTTAGATAAGGATAGGTTCAATCACCAATATTGCACATGCTGCTTTTTAAGATAGGTTAAGGATAGGTGACTCACATTTATAAAACACATACAGTTCTCGATAGGTGACTCTCTCATAAAACACATGCAGTTCTCGATAGGTGACTCTCTCATAAAACACATGCAGTTCTTAGAGTTAGTTTAAGGATTGGTTACTCATGTATGGTTAAGGAAATTAAAAGTGACTTTCTAATTCAACACATGCAGTTGTCTGAGGTTGTTCCAGGATACATAGTTAGGTCATGTAGGTAAATCACTCAACAGAACAAGTAGTTCTCTGTGATTGGTTAAGGAAACGTGACTCACTCATACATTACATTGATGTCGACGATGTAGGCTAAGAAAGGAATATGAATACTTGATAATTATCAGTTGAATGACATTAATACAATTCAGCCATCATTTGTATATAGATGGCAGAAATAAGATGTATTGTATAATAAGCCAAAGTTTCAAGCACTTTTTTAAACTAACTTACCATCTAAATAGTGTAAACTTATAATTAAGAATAAAAAGATATGCCATATTGTTATACATTCTTATGTTCTTGAGACAGTAACCCGATAATTTAATTCACTTCAGACATGTCAGATGAAACATTTTGAGGTAAATAGTGTACATGTAAATATACAATCTTCAGCACCTAGAGTGTGATCAAGTTTTGAATAAATATTACACTTAAAGATCTGTCATCTACACTGATTTATATAAAGTACAAAAACTCAAATATGTCAAAATTATTTTAATAAACAAAATTAGAAAAAAAAATCTTAAAATACTTTTGAAAACCTGAAAGGGAAAATGCACCCATGACATATGAACAATGAGAACAAATAATGTTCATTAATTGAAGCAAAACAAAACGAAGATTTGTAACTGTGTAATTTGTTGATATTTTAATTTTGATAACTTTGATTATCTTATTATAAGATATACCAGGAATTTTTATTTGATTTGCATATTTACAAATACTTGATTGTCATGACTGTCATGGCAGGTCTATTAGAATTTGTTTCCTTGATCATGTTGGTTTACACTCCAATAGACCATGTTGCTAAAACTACTTCCATAGTCTTTGTAAACACTGTCGGTTTTACTGTGGTCAAAAGACTGGAAATTCAAAGAAAAAATAGCAAGTGTTTGGGCTCAAAATTATAGGACTAAAGTCATTTTGCTAGAGAGTATTGATTTGTTAACTACGCTGCCGACTCACAAACTTTACTTAAAAGTCATTCAGAGTTTTATTCCATTTGTGTGTTAATTTGTCTACTTTACACATCAATAACCTCTAGAAGAAATGTGTTTATTCCTATAATAAAGACATTAAAGAAACGCTGTATACATGATATGCATAAATTGAATTAACAAATTCAGGTGAAAAAAGATTTGGGATAAATGTCAGTGAGATATGTATCAGAACAACACATGTAAATCAAACCAGTGTATTATTTGTAAATCATACGTGCTTACACAAATTTAATAAAAGAATTCAAAGAGTGTCGCCAAATTGATCATTAAACTTTAAACATCCAGTCAATTTACTATTTTACCTCTCAGATTTAAATAGATTGAACTGCTTAAACTGGTTTACAAGTCAGCTGTTGTTATTTACAGATATGGGTGAAGATGTTCCAACCTTTACACAGTTTAAACTTTGGTATTGGTGGTGACCAGACACAGCATGTTTTATGGAGAGTGGAAAATGGAGAAATGGATGATGTCCAGCCAAAGGTTTATATACAGCATTTCATATTGCTTGAAAATTTTCTCTCTTTCAGTCAGGGGTACTACTTGTACAAGTAATCTTCATTTACTTGAAGAAGTAAATAATAATATACTTATATATATGTAAACTATTATGTTTGAATAATCTCCCCTTAATTTTCTCAAAAATTTACTTGTATAATTATATAAGTATATTTTTTTTTACAATCCCGAAAAATTCTCAAGTTTTGGGATGTAAAAACATGCCTTTAACAATTTTTCTCAGTTTGGCTCATAATTTTTTATTAGAGTTCAATGTTTCATCTCATTAATTCAACAAAGAAACTAATTGGGCAAAGATCTTAAGTATTTGTGCAAGGCCTTCAAAAATTGCCCCTTGGGGGTTTGTAAATGAGCAGTGTTCTGAAGATAACAGACAAATGAGATTTTCATTGTCCATGAAATTACACTTAAATGATTAGTAAAGACGTCTGCAAAGGACAGACAATTAAAAATTTTATCAGAGCAAAGAAGTCCTAAGAAATTCAAGAAAAGAAGATTAGAATGACTTTTTTACTTGAATAAGTTAAAAAATCTGAATGTCTAAGGGAAATAACTAAGCTAAAAAATGATTTACCAATACGTTGTACACGTAAATAATAAACACTTGTATAAGTATCCTACACATTTACTTATATAAGAATATTAATATTTCTTCAAGTAAATAAAAATGACTTGTACAAGTAGTACCCCTGACTGTCTTTCTTTGTTTGGCAGTTCTACATATGTTTAATACAATGTAGATTAGTTCTTCTATATCTTGATTTTTGAATATGATGTTAAGGTTTAGCCAAAAAAAAAGTTGCTTGGATCTTTGATGTCTGGAAAAATTCGTTAAATCTATTTGCATATGCTCATCAAAGAACAATGACACTTGAAAGTAATTTTACTAGTATTTGCTAGGTTGACCATGAAATCAATATTATCTATATTTACTACCTATTAAAATAATAAGGTTATCACTAGCCAGTCAATGGTGGAACTGGTATAAAAAAATGACTAAAAAAACTGTTTGTTTTTTAATTTTCAATACATGTATATAAAAAAGTCATGGTTGTACTAACATGACTAACACACAAGAAAAAATCTAAATTATGTACACTAAGTACATTGAAGTACACATTTATTATACTAGGGAGTTTAGCTATAATTAAATGGAAGCATTTTTACATTTGTAAAATAATAAAAGTTCATAGTCATATGCTGTAAGATAAGGTGATCTGAAGATTATAGATAAACCTTCTTCAATAGCCAATCAAATGATCCAGTTAGTATCAAAAGATCGACTAAAGATAGATTTTAAATATGATGTATCTTGTGCATAAAAAAGACAGATAAATGAGTAAAATCTACATGTACATGTACTGTAAATTCAGAAACTGTTGCATGCATTTATTATTGCGATTTTGTCATTTAAGACTAAAATGCAATTCTAATTTTTGCAATATTGAGGAAAATCCTGTTTAATTCATATAAAAAATTTCAAAATGCGAGTTAAAATTATTGCGATTATAACCCTATTGCATTTTTCACAAGGATAAAACATCGCAATAATTTCTGAATTTACAGTCAGACAGTATACAATTATTTTACAGGTCGTTGTTCTTTTGGTTGGAACAAATAATTATGACCATACAGATAAAGAAGTGACAGAAGGTATTCTTGCCATTGTTAAAGCCATACAGGAGAGACAGAGCCAAGTTCAAATAATTGTCTTGGTAAATATGTTATTTTAGTTTAGCATCAGTTCCTAAACAATTTTCCTTATAAGGTTGTAATAATCCGAAACTTATTTGCATCAGTAAAATTAAAAAGCTGAAAAAGTTTAATTTTTCCCCCTAAAAGCAGACTTATTGATAAATTTGTTAATGAGTACTTGATGTTCAGCAGAGATTTTGTATGCATATTCATGTCATTCATGACATCAACCTAGTAATGTCATTTCAATGTCAGGCTTTGGATACACAGGAATTGTTGGATTTTTAAGATGGTACGTCATAAATTCATTAAAGATACCAGGCTAACCTCGCTTAATGCATACAATATTTACCTTCTATTCTCCAATGTGCTTCATCTGACAACAGTTGCTGTTTTCTCAAAATATCTAAAAATTATTCATAAATTATCTGAATTTTTGATGACTTATCACTTTTGTCAGATTTTTTTTTGGTGAATGTGAATAAAGTTAAAGCAGATGTGGGATTTGTTCGTTAATGAGACAGTGACCAAACAACACGAAATACCAAAAGACAAATAAATTCAGTATTCAACTATAGGCAGGTGCCTAACAATATATGTCAAGTCTGAACTAAAAAAAAAAAAGGTTTTGAAGTTGTTTTCCAGTAATAGAAACAATGAAAGTTCTACAGACCTTCTAAAATTCAAACTGACCACACGCACGATACACGCACGGTGAATGCACGATACACGCACGGTGAATGCACGATACACAATACACGCACGATGAGCGATGAGCGTTACACGGAGGATTAACGAAAAATGAATGATGAATGATGAACGCACGATACACGCACGGTAATTGATTCATTGACGAATGAAAGATAAGCGCTTAATACACGGTTCTCAAAGCCATTTTATTTGGAATTGCATTTAAAATTGATGTATGATAATGAAAATCTATAAGGGTATACAAGTTTTAGATATCTCGCTTTCTGTGTTGATTGGTCGACAGTTTTACTAAACACTCCATGTATTAAATAAATTAATTGTAGTATAGTATTTCCAATATCAATGAGTGTTGTCAAATTATAAAACTCATCGATTTTATAATTCTACTTAATATAAATAATTTATAATTTGCTACGTTTTAAAGAGTGGTGATTCCAGCCATTTTTAAAAAGAGGGTTCTCAACCCAGGATAAAAGGGGTGGTTTTAACCATATGTCCCCATTCAAATTCATTGACCCCCCTCCCCCCCTCCTCTTTTTATCTGCCTAAATTTGTAACCTTAACTAATTAATTATCATATGTTTACGTTCCGAAATTTAGGAAATATTTGTATGCTTCAAAGTTTAGTATGATGTCCATTATCACTGAACTAAAATTCATTTTTGTTTAGGGACCAGCTGAAAAACGCCTTCGGTGCGGGATTTTCTACCCATTGGTGGCCTTCGACTGTTTTCTGTCTGTACGTCTAAACACTGCTAAGGACTTATAATATGCCACTAAGGACTAGAAAGGACGTGTTACTTGTACTCTGTTTTCATACTATGGTAGAGATAGATAGATTTTTATTACATAAATTCCAATTTTTAAAGAAAAGAATCACCATTAAATGAGTAGTTGAACAATATTTGGAACGTGCCGGTTTTTCCTTGATATTGCCGAAAATCAGTGATCCGACTGACACGAGCGAACTTACATAACAACTGATTAAACAATCATAATCTCTTTTTTTTTTTACTTAAGTTACAATGTTCCTTATATTATCAGAATCGTATGAGTTAATTAAGAGCAAAATATATAATTTGTCAGAAAAATCTGATTCGTACAAATTGATTAGAAATAGCTGCGAAAATGAAATTTACCAAATAATGAGAAAATTTAAACATTTGTAATACCAAATACTTCATAATATACTTCTGAAACGACTTTTCGTCCTGAATATGCATGACATTTTTGCCACTGGAGTTTAAACAACCACTGAATAATCAATCAATCAAATTTTGCTTTCATTAAACAATATAAGCCACAATTGTATCCATCACTTGGTGTCTGTTGTTTGTTTGTACAGTAAACATACTGAATCTTTATATATTCCTTATACAATTTCAAGTATGTAATAAAATTCATACATATTTTCAAACATCCTGGCACTTCAAATTTCTAGGAGGTGAGATTCTCGGGGTTTTACCTGAAACTCTTTGGGAAATGCAATTTTTAATTCCAATTCCAATTCCAAACTGTAAAAGATATCCCAAGGATTTTTTTAAAATGCATTTCTAATTTGATAAGGAGATTTGAAAAAAACGATCTCAATGGTAGTTGAAATTATTCAGTGCAATCATTTTGTGTCCGCCGTTGTCTTTCATACATATCAATTGGTGTATCCACTGTTTGCTGTTCGTTATCTGTTGTTTATGGCAGTCAGGCCTCGCGAACGGTCTCCAAATTTAAGCCCCCACTAAGGTAAATTAATGATCATTTATAGGGGGGGGGGGGGGGGGCTTTTTTCTCGGGACAAACATTATTTTCCTTCCTTAAAAACAACTTAACAATTTTCTATATTTTTCATTTAATCATAAACCGATGAATATTAAATGATTTTTAAAAAATTAAAAAAATATTTTTATTCTAATATATCTTAATATCTGGGTTATTTTCTTATCCAAATAATTATTTTTTCATTTTTTTTAAGGAAAAAGTGTTATCAGTTATGGCCCCCTCATTTTAGACATGACATTTTGCTTGATACTGTATGAAGATTATTCGTTGCAACTTTTATGAAGAAATTACCGACTTTTTTTTAACTAGATAAATATACAACAAAAATACCGTTTTTTCTTCTTGTATCAATTTCTTTTCACAAAAATTAAATATTAATAAAGAATTGTTACACAAATGTAGAGCCCAATTTGATAACGAAGATATTCCTAATCTCTTTACAGAAATCCGCATATCTTTATCTTTTGAAACAAAAAAGTTAAGGATGTCTGTTCAAAGGACAAAAATGTCCAAGAAACCGAAATGTTATAAGTAAAATTTTTTAATGTCGAATAATTCAAACCCATTTGTTTTTTAAATTTAGCACATGAAGATATAATTTTTATTACATATACAAATTGATTTTGTAAAAATTAGCTTGTATATATGTGAACTTTTGTAAAAAAAAAATCACTGTGGTTCTAAAACTGTATCACATGGCCATAATTGTCCTAAAGCTAAATGTCATCGTCAGATTATGAGGGTCTGAATAGGGATTCGTTATTTCTGTATTCTGTCATTTTAGGCAATTTTTTCTAATCGTTATACCTTTTGTCGATCATTCTTTATTCCATATATTCTAGTACCTCATCATTTTCTTTTCTATATATTTGTCTGGTTATTTTTTGTATTCTTTATTTTTTGGTCAATAATTTTCTATTCTATAAACCCCCACCCACACCCTATAATGGAAGACGATAAACATTTTAGTATACATACCACCCGTTGTCACTTTCACCTGACATACAAATCACAAATTGTTATTTTTACCTGGACACGGGACTTATATAATTACGTAATAATAACGGATATAGTAAATTCAGTAGAATATAACCTGTATCAACGCACTGGCTTGTTAAATGAATATTGATCTGACAACTGTTTATCATATTTTTAGTTATTTTAAAATTGAGAATGGAAATGATGAATATGTCAAAGAGACAACCACCCGAAAAGAGCACATGCCAGCCGAAGGCCACCATATTTGATAAGGTTTTAGTTTCTAATGAGACAGTAACCATCGTATTTTCAGAAAATTTCTAAACGGATAATGAGAGTTTAGCGACCTTGACTGGCTATACAGCCCAAGCACGGTCGGTCTCTAAAAGTTGCTGAATTTAAGAGCCTATATCAAGAGATAGGCTTTACCTAGCTTTAGGTGTTTAAAAAATATCCATTTAAGAACCAAATGTGGCTTCTTTCTATTTATACCAAAATTGAGTTCAAGGCAGTATTTTGTCGAAGAGAACAATTACACAAAGTGCAACATGCGAGAAGAGGTTTCATTTCCCTTATTTATTTTTTATTGAAGTGAGTAATCTTTTGAGATTACTTCACGGAAATATATTTTAAATGAAAAGGTGCAACTGGATGCATCCCTAAAAAACAAATTTAAATATATATTACCTGAAGATCTGTAAAAGCAGTGAAAGCGCTAGTAAAAGTGATGAATTGAAACCGTTATTATCTTTTATTAATTTTCTTATATGTTACCAGCAAACGGATTCTACTTAACTTTTCTTTTTATATATATATATATATATATATATATATATAATTTAAATTTGTTTGTTATATATATATATAAAATGACGGATATTCGTCAATCAGACAGCAATCCAACATAAACACGAGTAAGTTACCTGACATCTAGAATAAGAGGTTTAAGCATACCCCGCGCTGGTCAACTTTCTGAGCTGTGGGTAAAATTCAATATACATGTAGGACTGTGAAACGGGAAATATACGAAAGATTTGTTTTTACGTACGATGAAGTGTCATTCCCTCAATACATACGAGTCCACCGTGAAACTATTCTTATGATTATATAACGGTAAATGATGATCTCATTAGAGGAACAAATTAAGTAAAGATACATGTTGAAGCAAGAATAATATCCACATGCAAAACATCAAATAGGACGATCTCTAAATTAGTACGCGGCAACTTTAACTATTACATTCAAAGACAATAACACTAGTAAATGCTTTATATACTGACATTGAAACAAATATACTGCTCATAATAATTGCACATCTGTAGACTTTAATCTAGGTATCCCGCGTTATATAAACTATCGCAAACCATCGAACAGCTCATCGCACTTCGGCGCAGACCAGCGCACTTCACGCGTGGCCATCAAACTTTATGATCTCCATTGCACCTCCGAGTCATACACACATATATATTCCGATTTTTTAATAATGGTTTTTATTATTTTAATTCCCGTAGGTATTGCCCAAAGAAATAGGGTTTATTTAAGGGTTTACACATCTTCATAGCTAGAATATTTTGATACTTATATCACGAACAGATATCTATGACAAACATTTCTTAAATTGTCAGTATATAAATTTAGATTTTTTTTAAGAAACGTAGGTTTCAGCTACAGCAGACTAAATTGGCTTTTGATGGATTGAAGGCTTATGTAAAAAAAAAGAAAATGTGGTATAATTGCTAGTGAGTCAACTATTCAAGAAAGTTCAAATCAAGAGGAATGCTAGCAGTTATATCTATACGACCTTCAATAATGAAAAAAAATACGGGAACTGTAAAGTCGGTTATTAAAGGCCCCGCCCCGACATGAAAAAAATATGAAACAATTCAATTGAGCAAACTAACGGCCTTCTTTATTTCAAAGCTACATGTATCTTGCCACAACAAAAAGCCCAAATACATGTATATAACAGAATTGATGTTACGAAAACCACTGAACTACGTGCTTTTGACTTTGGACAGACACATAAATACACAGAATGTTGTGAATGTGTATAGGCCCTTTATTGGTCATATAGCTCTACACTCCTATCTACTTAGTATTTTATACATTCTTTGGCTTTCAAATATTTAGCATTGAGCGTTCCTGGTGAAAGTAAATCCAGAAAAGCGTTATAGATGCATGAAATTTATAAAGTGTTGATTTGTGAGGGGATCAAAACGTAGGGATCGATGTTTATGTCTGTTTTATATGTGCAATAATATCGGCCTTCTAACTTTAGTGAAACTCTGCAGTTGTTCAGTGACGGATCCAGGGGGAGGGTTCAGGGGGTTGGAACCCCCTTTTTTTGGACGATCAATGCATTTGAATGGGGACATATAGTTTGAACCCCCCCCTTTTTGCCCTGGGCTGGGAACCCCCCTTTTTAAAATGGCTGGATCCGCCCCTGTTGTTTCATGTATTTGATATGCAAATTATCACCAACTAAAAGGATAAGATGGATGAATTAATAGTTGATCGTTTAACGTCCAGTGGCATATATTATAGATTCATTATTAGGGGGAGTACAATAATTATGATATAATGATGAACATTGGCAATCATACCACAACTTCTTTTTTATAAGAACGTACATGTGTAGATTTTCGTCTTTTATTGTAAACTACAGTGTCCCCGGGAGTCAAAGCCGAAATCAAACTTGTGTAAATTTCTGAAACATACATTTCATTATTCAACCCAATGTAAAGCAAACAAATTATACCGTTTTGAGCTATAAAACCAAGGCAACCCTTTATACTAGTCAAAAGTTGCTGGATCGTGGTAGATGCATACGAAACTTCAATTAATTGTTTGTATTTTTCAATCTTTTATATCCGATAAAGATGAACACAAAATCTATCGGATAAAAACTACCGATTTTTTTATAAGATAAAATTTATCCTTATTGGAGTCAAATTTGTCATATGGATTCATAAAGGACAAAAAAATGTCCTCAGTAACGGAACAAAAAATACCCCCATGGTAAAATAATCCGTCATTCTTTAATACAAAGTACTATTGTGAATTATGTTTTCGGATATTAATCTTTTAGACATACATTAAAAACGGTGTCCTTGATATGCAACCATGAACACAATGAAAAGTGAATCTGTGAAAGTGTTCCATGTTTATTCCATTTAAATAAAGACTTGTTATGATAATACAATATATTTAACTATTTTATCAAAAAATTTAAATAAAAAAGAATATCTTAAACTCGTAAACACAATTTCAAGTTTAAAAAGTTCCTCAATTTAAAATCCTTCTTAAGGAATACGGGATATATTTGCGTGATCTTATACTTGTTTAATTAAAAAAATGCCTTCAAATACATATGTTTATTTGTATTCAAGTTTCCACAAAACATATTTAGCTTATTTTAAATGAAAATAAAGAACAGAGAATAAAAACACTGCTGAAGAGAAAATACATATTCGTGTTAAATTCGCCTCAGTTTAATTTGTTAATTCAAGTTTGGCATCTAAAATCTTAATCCGCAATCCACATTTACCCGACAATCTTGTATATTGTATTTTCTCAATGGAATAACCTTACCTGCACGTGACCATCAGAAACGAAGACAAACATTATATTTGTAATGGTATTTATCAAAACTTAAATGTTTGAATATTTAGTAGAATATGAATTTGCCAAATAAGCGAAGAATTATAATCTTGCATTGTTCAACATTGGAGAAATGACTCAAGTTGAACATTAATCATGTTAATACTGATTCAATATTTTATTATAGTCTCACCACATACAAACATAAAATGAGAATCACAGAAATAAACATAAAACATTAAAACATTTGCATTGTATGTACCAATCTTAAAAAGAATAATGAGAGACTTTTAAGACACAATATATTTACTCATTTACATTTAAAATTTACAGTGTCCACCTGTACTATATGAAAATAAAACATTTTTTCTTTGAGAACTAGGAAATAAAATGCTGTTTCTTTTCAATGAAATATTGTTGATGTTTTTGGCAACTATCGCAGCAACATTGCCGTTATTAAATAAAAATATAAATTTTTCGCTATCTGATAATTAAAGGTTAAAATGTTCATTAAAATGTTTAGCTTAATGTATCATAATTTGTCTTAAATCTACATATAATGGGCATTTTAAAATGACATGAAGTTCATCTTCAATAGTAGAGCTACAACACATGTCATCTCGTGGACTTCTTTTCTTTCATACTTTCCAGTTTCTATTTTTAGTGGAGCTACCCCACATCTAAATTTTGCAAAAGCACTGTTGTTTTTAATTGGCGGAATATTTTTTAACAAATAACAGTTGGCCAACAGTATATTTTTAAGCCCATTTCGCTCAGTTGAACAGAAATTCCAATTTTAACTGTTCTGTCGTAGAAATGTCATCATGTTATTGTTTGTACGTAGAACATGTATCATTATATTAAAATGTGTCAGTCCCAGCCAAGATTCACTGAATAACCACGAAATGTTTACAGATGATAAATAAATTTTACACAAAAATTCATGAATCTGTATGAACGTTATGTACGATGAAATTAATTAAGTGTTCACAAGAAAGAAAGTATGAATGTAAATTTTATTTAAAGTCGGAACATATATATATACACTTTAACCGTGAGATAAAATATAAGCTTTGATGAGCTCTATACCCGACTATTATATAAAAACCGCAATGAATGAACGTTACCCGATTAGAGATGGAACGTTTGACAAATGCACGTTATCTGATGTACACAGTTACATGCATGATTGACGAACGCACGATACACGGTTAAGAATGAATGATTGATGAAGGCACGATACACGCACGATACACGCACCATACACGATTGAGAATACACGATGCACGCACGTTACACGGAAAATACACGGAACGATGAATGATGAGCGCACGATTGGTACACGCACAAAACACGCACGATACACGCACGCAACACGCACGATACACGCACTGAATAATGGTCAGTTTGAATTCTAGAAGGTCTGTACCATCAACAACAAATTATCTAAATGAAAAAAAAAACAACATTCAAATATGACCTAAGACAATTACCATGACAACACAATCTTGTTTCAGATAAAATTATATAATTTGCTATTGCATTATAAAATTGTTGCATAATAAACTAAAAGTAACTGTCTTTGCTACATTTTTTGTGTCTATGTATTGCAGTAAGCAGTTGCATTTTTACCTTTTAAAATATTTGATTGCCATTAAAAAAAAAATTCAAGATAAACAAAATCTTTAACTTGACACACATTGAAAAAATTAATTTTATTCTATTGGATGTAACTCATTTTATTTCATATATTTCAGGGAATTCCTCCAAGAGGTGAAAAACCCAATCCACTCAGAGAAAAGATTTCCAAAATAAATGAGGGCTTAAGTTCAAAATTAAGCAGCACTCCAAATATCACATTCCTGAATGCTGATTTTTCTGCGTTTATTAATTCGGAAGGGCTGATAGATTCAAAAGATATGTACGATTACCTGCATTTTACGAACGAAGGATACAGAAAGTTTTGTGAGCCACTGGTAGAAGAAGTACAGAGCTTGCTTCAGACATTTTTGAAGGTTGAAAACACTTCCATGCACTCGTCTTCGACAGCGGATTTGCTATGTAACGATACAACGTAATAAGAACATCCTACAGATCGTCCAGATCTTTATGGCAGGGGCAAGGGTCACATTTTTTTTTTGTTCTTTGTATGCATTTGTTGTATAAAGCAGCCAACATGCCTTATCCCTAGCTAGCATCTTGAAATATAAAATGCTTTTTTCAGGGAAATCCATTCAAATGATGTATAGCCCAGTGCTTTAAAAGTTTTAATGTCAAGACAAGGTAACAGAACTTTCCTGTCATTTTATCATTAAGATATCTTATTTTGTGCTCATTACACCTAATGGAATTTTATGCTTTAGAATTAAAATGCACAATATGAAGCTGTTTTTGATGTTTTTGGTTTTGTTAGTACATTTTAAACATGTTAAAACAGTAACATATTTGGAAATCTCTTTAAAAAATGCGAAAAAGAGTTATTACATGTATTTACACCATATTTGAAAATCCATTGAAAGTTTTTTTGATTTTTGTATAAACACCAACTTTTTAAATTGTACTTTTAATGAGAGGTTCTTATGATAAGATTGAATGAAAAACAGTTATAAATGCATGTGTTCTGTTTAAGATGAGCTCAATGGACATTGGCATGGTATTTGATAAGTGCTGTAATAAAAGGGAAAAAAATTGCAACATTAACTGAAAACAACTATCATGGTGATAGTTTTTTTATTTGACATGCAACAATTTTTCCATTTCTTGGATTGATTGCCAAAATGCATTTATGATAAAAATACATGTTAAGAAAGTTGTTTTGGATGACATTGATAATCTGTTATTACATGTACATATTGTAGCACAAAGTCACAGATTCTATTTCATGTTTAATAAGAAAAAAGAAACAGTGTTTTCTAAAATATCATGAACAATGATAGACCTTTTAAAAATATTATTCTGAAGGTTATGGTGTAAAAATTGCAAAAATGGTATAATTATTACAATTAAAAAACAACAACTATAAAAAAGAGTATAGTATCATGACAGTGCTAATTGTATTCATTTTAATTTTTTTGCAATATTTTATAATTAGAAAATGGGGATATGGCGATGAAACAAATTTCTAAAAAGATACACTGAGAAATGAATGAAGTTTTACTGTGGTTCTTTCTTGTGAAATCTATCTGCATGTCATAAATAACAAGGATTGTAAGTAAATTAATTTTTTGTTCACTAAACATAAAGTTAAATTTATGGTTAAGAAACCATGTTGTTGTGATTTAATTTGACTTTGTTCTCAACATCATGAAAATGTAAATCGTTAATTTGGATTATGTATACGATGATTATGATTTTTCATGTTTTAAAATCATATCTATAATTAGTCATTTTTTTATCACTTAATAACTTGAACTGATAGCATATTATTTTTTTTTTATTATGGTGCAATATACATTGGGGGAATGATTTATCTGTTTTTTATTCCTGGTTTTAACAGGATTATAAGAGCTAATTTTTTTTCCATTTGTTAATTTAGAGAGAAAAAATCCATTAATTTTGTTAAACTGGATGTATAAAACCAGAAACTTTAAGAAATCTTATGCTAACATAACCTGAAAGTCAACTATAACATGAAGTCGATGGTAGCAGGCCTATGGGAATTGCCTCTTCAACACTATGGTATTGAATAGTATTGAATTGGTTTTTTTTAGATCACAAGCGTTTGAATATCATTGTAAATTGGTAAATTATGTATGTTTAAATTTTGAAGGTAATTTTTTTAATACAAGTTTTTCAGTTTGGATAACAATTGTATACAATTTAATTTTTTTCGTTATTGATGGAATTGGTTATGTTGACATGGTGGATGCATATTTTAAAATTTTTTTTTAAAGTTGTTTATAAAGTCTGAGATTAATCTGATGTCTGACAGTCTGTTTTCGGACCTGCTGGACACAGGGATGTCAGAATCTAGTCCATGTAGATAACATGGAAATTACCATGCCAGACCTAGGACAACAAGTTTTGTCTTCAGTTGTAAAAGATCCATTATCAAGCTGATAAACCATATATCATTCATTTCTTTATTCCTTTTTCTCAACAAATATTTAACTTTCATTCAAAGACAACCATCCAATAGCCCCAAAAAAAGTCTTATTTCCTTAAACCCAACTTTAGGTTACTTTCAGATTGAACCATGTCCAGTCGTGGCATGAGTTCAATATTTTATGTCTTGTGTATATAATTGAGGAAAATAAATCTTTCATATGTGCTACAGGGAGGTGAATAAAAGATCAATATTCATGGTACAAATGATGTAGGGTTTGTATGCTTGACAATGGACCAACAAGGATTTTTGGATAGAAACTACCTTAAGTTTGATTTGACAGTTTTATTATTTTGTATATATGAACTAAAGCAAGTCCACAGAACAATCTATCTGTTATCAAAGCATTCTCACCCGAAGTTGTTTATAGTGTTCAAAACAAGTTTCTTTCGGTTTTGACATATTCGTAAAGAGATAGTGTATTTGCAACTTAAACACAACAAACTTTGGTAATTTGCTCTACTGCAAGGATTTGTTATATTCTAGCTTGTATATACAGCAAGGAACTATAGTGATGTATAATTATTTTCACATATGTTTATTATTGCATGAATATAAATTTCTTGAGGATCAAAAGATGTATACTTATATGTAAAATTTGCAATACAAACAATTATATAAAAAACATCTATCTAAAAAAGAGATGTCTTTTATGAAACTTTGTATGTTTGCAACTACTTGCAAGGTCTTGAAATTGACACTTGAAAATGGGAGGTAACCTTTTTTGAAATTTATGTAATTTAAGTTTTATGTAGAAGACAAAAGTTGCACTTTTTGTGAAGATAGAGTGGTGATAAAGGTACATACTGAATATTTTCATCAGGTCACAATCCCAAAAAATGTTTTATATTTTCATTCAGGAAACCATGTTAAAAGAAAAGTTTGATTTTAAAGTTAGTTATATATAGCCTTTTATTTACAATATGCATTAAAAATTTTACTAGAAAAATGACATTTATGAAGAATACAGAAACAGAAATACTTAAAAACTTGCATCTTAAATACTTTCACAATGCTGATATGTAGTTTTTACTTAAACCATTTTAGTTGATAAGGTATCTTACAAATCAGCATATCTTGATGCCAGAAGGCTTTTTTGAATTTGATGATAAAAATATATCTTTCTTGGCAGATGAAAAAATAAATATGAACAAAAAGGAGATTTGCCATACTAATAATTTTTTAAGTCAATGAAAGATCAAAGTTTCTGTGCAAAAAGTGAGAAAAGACACTCTGTTTTGTCTTTTAATCAGTTCAAATTTATTTTTGTTGGTAACCTAATGAATAGCTATAACATATCTGTGATATAGTATGAAAGAAATTTTCAGGAGTATTTTACATTCTTTGATATTTTTAAAGGTTAACACAACTATCTAATTTACCTTAGACTGCAGGTTAGCTGGACTTTGTTCATTTACCTGTCTACTTTTGAAAACCTACTCAAAGTTAACAGATTTTGAAATAAAGTACTGAATACAAAAATTTTCCAAAGTATTATATGTTTGATAAATTCTTATAATGAAAAAATTGGCATGCCTACACCATTGGATGGTCACAGATGACCATCTAGTAGAATACACAAACTGATGAAAATGACACAATCTGCTTAAAATAAAGTTATCAGACTTAAAATCATTCCAATAGTTAAGAGTAAGTCATAACTAGAGATGTTAATTTGTTGATAAAGATATTGTTAATTGTTAATTTTTAATTGCTGTTTTTTTTTCAAATCTTCAGTTATAGTTAAAATTTATTTCCGGTTTTGACAGAAATAGTTTGGTAATGAAATAATTTGTCTCCAGTAATTATTTATTTGTTGCCTTTTTAAATGTGGTATGATACTGATATTAACTATATTGAACACTTATTACAATGTATGGACCTCATAAACAATATTTATGATGATATTCATATCAATGAAAGTCTATATCACATCCTAATATAAATAACTTCAAATATGATCAGGTATGATCATGTCCCGATCAGTTGTGTTTTGTGAAAGTCAATGGAGACAATATGATTTTTTTTTTTATCTTACCCCATATCAATCCTCAGGCTGATGGACATCTTATGTTGTTAAGGGCATGTATATAGAAGGGTTTTATATCATATTCTTAATTTATTATCCTAGTATGACATATTACAGCCTAAACTTACATTGATAAAATTTGACAAGACCTAGGTTGTACATTTTGAATGACACCGTATAATTTTAAATTTAATTATGCTTCATTTGAATTGATAATATCACTATTTCAAGGTTGAATAATTTTAATTCTCTTTTTTTGTAAATATTAATTTATGAAGTGTAACTAACCAAACTGAAAATTACAAGAACATCTGAATATATTTACTAGGAAGATAAATATAAAAATCTATAAACATTTTTTTTTGTTTTTGTTTTTTTTACAATTTTGATTAAAGAGAATTAAATATTTGAGTCATTCTTGAGTGAACTCTTTATCAAGAAACCAAATTTTTGGAAAAACCACTTCTTAAAGTCATACCTCTTCTAAAGTCATATTGGATAAATCTTTTAAAGGGAATAGTGGTCTTGAAACCCACAGTTCAGTGGCGGGTATGGTCTCAGTACACAAAGTTTGCTGTACTTTTGAATTTAAGTTAAAAGCAATTTAGGGCTATGTTTTGTAGTTGCTAGAGATATGGAGTACCCAATGTTTATATATCATTTGGGTTATATAAAGCAAATTTTTGAGGAGAATAAAATGAAAACTTATCAATAGAAATATTACATTTTTGTGTATGTTGTTAGGAAAAATTATGAGAACTTTTCTTATCAACTTTATTATCACAAAATAAATAAATGTACAGATCTATTGTTCACGCTGATAAAAACATTCTGTCATATGATACCTAAGCTAGCTGAATCACAAATTCATTGATTTCTTTTGGCTGAATCACATAAAGATTCATTGATGTCTTCTGGCCAAATCACAGATTTATTGATGTCTTTATGAATCAATCTATGATTTGGATGTATTTCTTAAGTACTAAATAAGGTGGTTAAAGGTAGTTTTATTTGTATTTGTAGGGAATACATATATTCATGCATAAGTATAAATGTTTAAAATTAAAAAAAATAAAAGATAATATCAGCTTATGAAAAAAGCTAAATTTCCAAGATGGCAACCTCACAGAGATTAGGTTAAATGCCTAGCCAAAGTTAAATATTTAGTGTATTTACCTTAAATTGTCTGCAGTGGTGTCTTTTAAGACAAATTGAATTTTGTAATATTTTATTTATAGATAAACTTGAAAACTAAGTATAAATTTCAGTATTGTTAGTATAATAGAAATAAAGACAATATAATGTTAAAAACTTTGGATTTGATGGTTAATGGTTTTTGGTTTTTATAATGATGAACTTTTTTTCAGATAAATTTTAGTTTTCAATTAATTTGATAATTTTGCAGAAAAAAGATGTACATGTATATAATATTTTTTTTAGTAGATTTTAATACTAGTTTAAAATATAAACTAATCTGTGCAAGTGCGGGTATTAATTGAGGATTAGATAAATATGAATAAGCATAGAGTACTACAACATCATCTATCTATATATTAATGTGCAATCAAAGATCAAAGGTTGATAAATGATTGACATTATATTATATTTAAAACAATGATGCAATTATGAGCTCTTAAATCAACTGACTTTTTCATATTTTCTAAAGTAACTAGGCTGAAAGTAATCCTTGTAGACATCTCTAGTCCACTTATGCTCTTAATTTTTTTAAAGTGCTGGTGTTCTATGTTCAATATACAGCACATACAATATGATTGATTAAAAATCACTTTTGCTACTGTAGATTATTAGATTGATATTCTACCAAACAGGATGCATATGATTGCTGTTAATTAAAGGTGATAACACTCTGGATTACTACGTTATATACCCTATCATTTACTATCTATGAAATATTCAGAGAATTATTTTAGATTTAAATCAACTGCAAACACCAGCAATCACCGTAAAAAAATCACAACCAATAGTGATTTTCAACTAAATCACCTTGTGTGTACTGTATGAAATATTTTTATTATGAAAATTGTAAAATTAAAATCAATATTGCTAAGGTATTTTTTTCACAATGATAGAATAAAAATAGAAATAACCATTTGCATTTAAATGGACAAACACCTAAATGGTTTCCGACATAAGTTCATATTTTTCTTAATACTCATTTTGATTTCATAACCTCAGATGTTAAGTAATAAGGGTTCTATACAATTATTTTTTCCAAATTTACACTTGTAATATCATTTATATTTTTTGTGAAGCAGTGCTTCAACAAGATGTTGACAATATTTGGTGCATTTATTTTTCACAGCAAAAACAGATCTCACATGTGCAATATAAATTTATGTATAATGTTACATTGTTTGCATGTATATTTCTTTTATGAACAATGTAATATGTGTAGCTAATACAAATATCATTTAAAGTAAATAAGTTCTTTCTTATTATTTAGTGCCATGATTTCCATCATAATAATGATTGTCCAATATGTGTACTTAAATGAAATTAATTTTCGAAAGACATAAAAATAACTTTATTGAATTGTTTCATATTTTTAATGTCGGGCCTTTTAAAGCCGACTATACGGTATGGGTTTTTCTCATTGTTGAAGGCTGTACGGTTGCCTATAATTGCTTACATCCACTTTATTTGAACTTGGGTGGATAGTTATCTCATTGGCAATCATACCTCATCCCCTTATTTTTATGTAAGTAGGGGTGACACAAAAATTAGAACATGGACTCAATACATCAAATGCATGAGGGCCAGATGAAATACCGGTAAGCCCTAGAATACTTAAAAAATATCAAATAAATTAGCACCTATCATTAGTTATCTTTTTCAACAATCCATCACTACCAGCTAAATACCTTATGAATGAACAACAGCAGACATTTGTCTACTTTTCAAGAAGGCTGACCATTCAATACCGACAAACTACAGTATCGTTAAAGTGCATTCTCTGCACGAATATAAAGTATGCTCCAAAATAATGCGTCACCAAGATCATTATAATATCATCAATGAAAAACGAACATGCTTTTTGTAAATATCACAGTTGCGACTATATATGTACTGTAATCAACGATTGACATTAAAAAAAACATCGATTAAGGACACCGAACAGATATATATTTATATTAGATTTTGAAACAGCCTTCGACACAGCCCCACACTACTTAAATCGAAATTAAATAGTTATGGGATATCAGGTAAAACACTTATGTTGGATTGACTCATTCCCGTTCTACTGCAAGCAAAAATTCGTGGTACATTGAACAAAATCAAACTGGTCAACCCGGCGTTGATACTGTCTTGTGTCATATGTTATTTAGTCAACATATCAAAGATATCTCTGATAATCGGGTGTTTGGACAGTAGAAACATCCAAACGATCAAATGACTAGTGTTAAATGAAGTACTTAGTAGATAGAAATACTGTGAAACTGTTTAGGGGACGACCATTTGATATTCTGGGGGGGGCCAGGAGGATTTTGAAAATAAATAACTCAGCCTTGATAATCACAAAAATAAATGGTTTGTTCTGTAGTAGTTCGAAAATAAATAACCTGACTTAAAATGTATTGAAAATGAATAACTCGGCAGGTCTTTCAGCCATTTTATAAATGCTATTCGAAAGTATGAGGTGGCACCAGATTCTTCATAAAATTCAACTTTTTTCAAAAAAAAATTCAGGAAACACTTCCCAAATCTTTTAATAATAAAGGTATAAATATTATTTAAATATACTTGAAATGTCTGAAAATGGGTTTCATTTAACTTGAGGTATATTGGCTCAGGAACACTTACCTCACTTTTATTACAGGGCTGTAACTACATTGAGACAAATGCCTTTATGTAGGAAATTTTAAAACCAAAAGCTTGTCTTCATATCAAATTGTTTTCACAGCGAGTGTTTGCAAGAAGCAAGTTCTGTTCTCCCTTGGACGTAGCACCTGTTTTTTCGGGATCAATGTTTCTTTAAATTTGTCTTTTGTTCATTGATTGCCCTTCTATATTCTCTTAGTGTTGCATTACTTTTGTGATTTAGTAATTTTGTTTTCAACTTGATCATGAGTTTTATTTTATTTAAGACTTTTTAGCTATTTTTACGACTTAACTTCTTTAAATTGTGTCCCAGTTAAGAGCTACATCAAGTTGTAATTGAAATGTGTTATTAAAAATTACTTGACATAGTTATATCACTGACAATCAGCCCCCTCTTAACTTAATTTGAATAAAACCCCATATAATTTACAGGTATAAAAGATTTAAATTCTGCATGCCGAAACAACAAAAAAAAAAAAAAAAAAAAAAAAAAAAAACCAGCAGCCACATACTTAACTATGTGAATTACATTTTTACTTTATTCTTCATATTGGTCTTTTGATGTTGTCCATAAAAACTTAAGTCTTACGCTGATTCTATACATTTTGCTTTGAGACCAAAATATTGTCAAAAAATTATTAAAACAGAACTTGCGATTTCAGAATAAGAAAGGGTCTGGGAACGCCCAGAAAGCACGATTTTGCATCATTTGTTCTATAGTTTCTTTGGGCCTTCAGCGGCTTCAAAACCCTTCAACTTTTTTTGCCTCGCTGCGCTCGGCGTAAATATATTTGGCAATACTTTTAAAAGAGGCTAGTCACAGCCCAACTCTAATACCATGTATGTATGCAATACATGTATATGCAGTTTGGAATTCAGAAGATTCATTTCCGCAGAGGATGATGATTCATTCTTATTGAATGGTACATTTAATGACTTGACTGTACATGTATTATTTATAATAAAAAATAAATTTAAAAATTGTATGTTTTCAAATATTATTAATATAGTTATGAAAATAAATAATCAGTCCCTTGTTTTAATGAAAATGAAAAATCTTGCTTCAACAGTGCAGAAAATAAATAATCTGTCCTCTTAGTTTACAAAAATAAATAACAGATTCAAAACAAATCCTCCTGGCCCCCCCCAGAATATCAAATGGTCGTCCCCTTACTCACGTAGTGGTATTAACCATATGTGGATTCTAAAAAAACTCTAAAGAACTTCTTGATAATTTTAAATCTCGATCTTTCTCTGAAATTAATTTTATCAAAACTTTTTATTTTTCAACCCTGTATACCACCATCCCCCATGTGAAATTGAAAAATCGTCTAAAAGAAATAATCCACAATGCTTTTCAATATAAAAAAGGTAGCAGTCAAGGTCGTTAAAAACAACCCAGTTAGTTAGTTATTTCTCAACTCATTCGGTATTCAAGAGCTTGCAGCTGCTACTCAGACTTTATAAGAATATTCTTATAAAACGTCAACAGTGTGTGAGAAGAAAGTTGTTGAACCAGTGTTATGTCAAAGAATGTCTCGTTCTTTTTCTAAAAATGTTCATCGGAAGATACCAAGACCTTGTTGATAAATATTCGGTATCAACTTCACAAATAATACATGATGGTCTTGAAGTATAGATTCTAGGTACCGACGTTGTTTATCATCTTAATTACGTGTTATAGTATTCTTTTATTTGTCTTTGTAAATTATTAACCTTTACTGTTTAGCCGTCCATTTTTGGTAATATGCTTTTGGCGTGTCCCGGTACTTATGCATCTCTCCAATTTGTTGTTGTGCTGTGATCATTTTTTTGTATTCTTGTCTTTCATTGTTGCTTATGTGCTTTGTCTATATGCCATTTTGGTTTTCTTTGTTGACATATTGGTTTGTTTTGATCATGGTGATTACTGCTGTACCCCTATATTTGACATTTTTACCTATTATGTGTATTTGTTTTGTTCACACATTGTTGTCAATATAATGGAATTTTATTCGACTGTCATACAAGTGAGAGGTTTAGCTAGCTATAAAACCAGGTTTAATCCACCATTTTGTTCATAAGGAAATGCCTGTACCAAGTCAGGAATATGACAGTTGTTTTCCATTCGTTTGATGTGTTTGAGCTTTTGATTTTGCCATTTGATAAAGGACTTTCCTATTTGAATTTTCCTTGGAGTTCGGTATTTTTGTTATTTTACTTTTTTCGTAATGAAAAAAATTTAAAAAAGAACTTTTCAGTTATCATGCTTGTCTAAGTTGACATAGCATTAAAATCTTTAAAATCCACCAATATAAATATAATAGTAACTTTCAAATGTCAACATTCCTTTAGTATGAATGAATATAAATACATGTCTATGTAAATGTTTTCAATTATAGTAATGCTAAAAACATTATACTGAATGAGTGACAATATTTTCAATTGTACTATTATAAAATAACGTTCACGGATACTTGAATGGACTGAATTTTCGGAGAAGAATTAAGCGGCCTGATATTCAAAGCACTGTGGACAATTTGATCTTTAGAACCCCTAGGAAATGGCTACGGCTAACTTGAAAAAGACACTGTGAAAATCGTATATCCATGTACTGTTTTTCCGCCAGTTTTTTTTTCAAAACAATTCGTATTTATTGATATTAAAGTCTGGGAGAGCATATGTTATCGCTTTTCCGACGTTAATACCAACAACATACTTCAGTATTGTAATTTTGAGAGAAAGGCTTGGTATAGTGAGTGATTTTGTCAAGTTTTACATAAAAAAAAGTGTATCCAAGTTTCTATGTCTCGTGCCCAGGTTTCCTTACCGGTTGTTGTCCATACTTCATTGTCCCAGCGTGTTTTTCTTCCGTCTCTTTTACATTATACAAGAAACGATAGAAGGAAAATCATCAATGTAGAACAACACACCAAGATACACCACATCACGAATCCTAATTCAAAGCAATTAAAAAAAAGAAACAAAGAAAAAAATGATGAAAATATAAAAATATAGAAATAAGATGTGGTACTATTATTTTTTTTTTATTATTTATTAGCATTTATTAGTCGTGGATGTGGTAGGGGTATCTGAGTCTTCCAACTGTAGCAAAACATTAGTGCGCAGTTTCAACGATGTCAGGGTTCTCGCTTTCAGATTGTTGTAGACCTGGAGATATAAAGGTAGTCTAACTAGTTGAGTTAGGGAAGATCTTCTTTGGCTCAATTGGTTAGAGCGCTGCCTTTAGAATCCGAGATTGAGGGGTCGAATCCCGCTGGTACCATCCAAGAGAAATCCAACCGGTTCTATACGGTGTGGGATTTGCTCATTGTTGAATGTGGTACGGTAAAGGTTAAAAAAAAAATGCTATCAAATTGGCAGTCAGACGCGTCTATCCGTATGCTCAGCCAATTATATCTGCATTTGTCGAGCAATTGTATTGTCCTACCACTTTCACATAAATAATGAAACTTCTTATATGTACAAAATACCTCCAAGAGTATTTCAACAATACAACTGATATCATATGTTGCTTTATGCATGTTATGGTGGTAATTCAATTATTTTAAACATATATATTAGTTAAAAACATACGAAATAAAATTGAGAATGGAGA